TTTCTGAAGAAGGGTCCCGACCCGAAACGTCAGCTTTCCTGCTCCTCTGATGCTGCCTGGCCTGCTGTGTTCCTCCAGCTCCACACTGTGTTATCTCAGACTCCAGCATCGGCTGTTTTTACTATCTTTTTCTATTCAGAAATGAGGTGTTTTTCTTTGTTCCAGCAGTACATCTCAACTATAACCAAACAGTGACATTACCATTGGCCAAAAGGCACAAAGCTATCCTGTGCAAATCTGTTCAGTTAACATAGAGAGTTGTATTATGCCAGAACTTGAAATCTCCTGCAGGAACTGCAGCATATGCAATTTATTTCCGATGAAAGGATTGATGTTTAATTACCAGTTCACTTAAACTCAAGACGTAACTGTGAAATAATATTGTGTTAACTCACTGCATTCCATTCCACAATCAATTCTCAAGAAGTGGTGGCATATTTCTTACATTTACTTGTTTGAGTGATTAGTCTTATCATAAACAAAACAAACAAAATTCCATTCTTACTGGATCAACAACAACATAACTTCCCAAACTGGTGGAAGAGAAATTTGACTTTTTAAGCAGGCTTTGCTTTAACAAAAGATGCAGTTTCATATTAGTCTCATTTTGCCAGTGATCATACAACTTGTCTTCATACGCTCTCATCCTTTTTGCAACTTCAAGATATTTTGCTTTGACCTATAAAGGAACAAAATGCATTCTTAGATTTCTCCTTAAATTTCATAAAATAAAGGCTATAGAGAATGCTCAACTCTAACAAGTGTACTGTTAAAGCACTGCTCATCACAAATCTTTTATAGATCTAATGTATTTTACCAAATATATAAATATTAGATAAAAATGCTAAACAAAGATAAGTTCAGACTTGACTGAAGTGGTTCCCCTTTCTAAGGACAAGTCATCTACCGGCAGCCCCTTTAAGCCCCATGGAAATCGTGTCTCACTAACTTAATTTTTTGAAGAAGTAACGAAGGAGACAGATGAAGGCAGAATAGTGAACTTTATCAATATGGACTTCAGCAAGGCGTTTGACATGGTTCTGCATGGTAGACTGGTGAGCAAGGTTACATCACATGGAATATAGGGAGAACTAACCTTCTGGATATAAAATTGACTTGAAGGTAGGAGACAGAGGGTGGTGGTGGAGGGTAGTTTTTCCGACTGGAGGCCAGTGCTGGGTCCACTGCGTTTTGTCCTTTATATAAATGATTTGGATGTGAACGTAGGAGATACGGTTAGTAAGTTTGCAGATGACATCAAAATTGGTGGTGTAGTGGACAACTAAGAATGTTACTTCAGAATACAACGGGACCTTGATCAGATGGGCAAATATGCCGAGGAGTGGCAGATGGAGTTTATTTTAGATAAATGAGAGTGCTGCATTTCAGTAAGACAAATCAAGGCAGGACTTATACAATTAATGGTAAGGTCCTGGGGAGTGTTGCCGAACAAAGAGACCTTGGGGTGCAGGTTCATAGTTTCTTGAAAGTGGAGTCCCAGGGAGACAGGATAGTGAAGAAGGCATTTGGTACACTTGCCTTTATTGGTCAGTGCATTGAGTATAGGAGTTGTGAGGTCATGTTGCGGCTGTACAGGATATCAGTTAAGCCACTTTTGGAATACTGCGTTCAATTCTGGTCTCCCTGCTATAGGAAAGATGTTGTGAAACTTAAAATGGTTCAGAAAAGATTTGGAGGGTTTTATCTATAGGGAGAAGCTGAAAAGGCTGGGGCTATTTTCCTTGGAGCACTGGAGGCTGAGGGGTGACCTTATAGAGGTTTATAAAATCATGAGGTGCATGGATACGGTGTATAGTCGAGGTCTTTTCCCTGGGTTGGAGCAGTCCAAAACTATACAGCATAGTTTTAAGGTGAGAGGGGAAAGATATAAGAGGGACCTAAGGGACAACTTGGTGGAGGCTGGTACAATTACAACATTTAAAAGGCATCTGGATGGGTATATGAAAAGGAAGGTTTTAGAGGGATATGGGCCAAATGCTGGTAAATGGGACTAGATTAATGTCGAATATCTGGTCGGCATAGACAAGTTGGACCAAAGGGTCTGTTTCTGTACTGTACAACTCTGTGTTGAAGGAAGAGTGGTCACTGGTCAACATAATAAATATCACAGTGCCTATGAAACTGAACCTACGAGCAACAAATTCTCCTTGTAGCATAATAAACTGTAACAGAAACCCTTCAGTTGTTCATGGAGAGTAGGGCATATAGATGTACCAGTTTAAGTAGGCACCACTAAGGTTGCATATCCTTCCTAATCCATTTCTATAGTCTAAGCAATTGTGTACCTGATTTAAAAGAATGAACTCCACCAAGCTTTAAAAAAGAATTGCAACCCCACTCTGAGCCCAAGGAAGATTCATCTTCAGTTAGCAACAGTAAGAGATCCTTATGAACATTAGCGCAGCATTCACTTTTTCATTGCTGTGTTCTCATTCAAGAGAACATGAACTACTGGTTCCTGCTGGTTTAACCTCATGGTGCCTGAAATTAACCCCAGTGTAAACACATCAATAAGCTGCCTAGAAGAAGGCATAGCAAACCAGCAAATTTATATTAAGATTGCTACTACGCATGCATATTGGGAAGCTTCAGGCTAAAAGCTGAGGAAAACAGCACAATATTTCAATATAAACTTGTCAAACATTTGTATGCTAACATTATGAATCATAATCTCCAGATTAAATCAATACATTGAAATTTTAGAGTCATGATTATTAACTAGTGCAGCAAATAAAGTTTTTCCATGTCTGGTCACATTCTGTACCTGATAATTGACCCAGTGGTATCTACAACATGCTACATGCTACACTGCAAATTTAACTGAAGTAAATCTGTAGCAAAGATATCTTCTATAAACTATTACCTTGCAATAAGCAACAATGGTTGAAACGTATTGATTTATGCAATAAATGATGCACCTTTAAATGTCCCAGTCCAAAGTCAGAAGATGTACTTACTGCTTTCCCCTGATCACTAGCCAGCATCTCGGGCATCTCCTGGAAGTGAACAATGGTGCGCTTAATCCGGTGAAAGAGAGAACGCTCCCAGTTGATGGCCCCAGCAACAGGAGGTTGATTTTTGGTCACAGGAGGATTATTAGCATTATTAGTGAACAGGCTGTTCATGATATCAAGCTATAACAATAGACAACATATTAGAACAACAGCTTGTAATTATACAGCACCTTAGCATTATAAAATCCCAGGCTTCATTGTAGCATAATCAAGCAAAATACAACATTGCACCACATAAAGAGATATTAAGACAGGCACCAAAACCTTAATCATTATCAGGTGAGGTATTAAAAAGTATCTTAAGGGAAAAAGAGATAAGAGATGGACATGTTCAGGGAAGGAATTCAGAGTTTATCGTCCAGGAATGCCTGCCCACAAGAAATACATGGAGGGGCACAAAGATAATGGAGAAATCCTCAGGGAGCTCCTTCCAAATCTGCCACCACGACCATCTAGAAGGAGAAGGACAGCAGATACAGGGGATCACTAGCACCTGCAATTTCCTCGCCAAGCCACACACCATCCTGATTTGAAAGTGTATTGCCATTCCTCCATTGTCGAACCCTGGAACCCCCACCCTAAATGATTGTAAGTATCCTTACACCTCAAAGACTCAAGTAGTTCTAGAAGGCAGCTCACCACCATCTTTCAAAGGGCAATTAGGGATTGGCAATAAACGCTTGCCAAGGTTACAACATTTACATCCCATGAATTAAAAAGAGGGCAGGATGTTCCTCTTTGCATTGAGACCCTCAACGTTGGGATTAATGGGGGCACAACCAGTTTTCCCTCTAATTTTCTTTCTGGCTATGTGGTCCTCTGAGGTCTGTGCACAGCAGCTACCTTCAGAACTAGACGTTATTGCTTAGAGGGAATGCTGGTCATAACCCAGCACAGTATGGGCACAGTGACCCAGCAGTGACTTTCCCTAAACTGACCAACTAATAGCCAAAGAAAAGGCTTACATTCAATTTAGGACAGCAGCTGTGCTCTCGTAGGTGGAAACTAAATAACAGCTGCTCGCAAGAAGCAGCATGCTGAATGTCAGGTGGGAGAAAGAAGGTGCATCTGTCTTGAGGCACCCTCTCTTCAATATTTTAAACATTTTAAATTAAGAATATCTTTTGGCATTGGAGCACCATTGTCAAGTGGAATCTCTTCCAATGTGGTGTTCTGAGGAAGGGTCACTGGACCCGAAGCATTAACTCTGATTTCTCTTCACAGATGCTGCCAGACTTGTTGAGCTTCTCCAGCAATTTCTGTTTCTTTCTCTTTCATGTGGGGCGACTTTACTGCCACAGCAGGGAGGAACAAAGCATAGAAAGATGTACTCTACACTCTTCTGAATGAACTTTAACAAGCTTTATTGCCATAAATATTGACAAGAAATGGTAAGAGAGAACATGGCTATGGTAACCTTACAGTCCCAGATTCCCATCCACTATGATCCGACTTAAATATGATATTGCTTCTTTTGAACATTCTTGGTAACTAACTTTGAGTAAAAGCATAATTCCCTGTACTCATTTGAGGGAAGGGCCTCAAGCATGCCTGGAGCATTGATTGGCCAAGTCTCTTACGCTTCAAGGGGGGACCAGCTAACTTGAAAATTCAGCTTTTAACTTGGACTGGTAGCTCTGCAGATTCTGATCCACCTATGTGAAAGCAGTCTAGGGCAAGACTGGGTTGGCAAACCAGCACATCAGGTGGCAGTGAGAATTTTCTTGCACACCCATCTCCACATTTGCCTCTATTAGGGATAACACTGGGAGAAGCAAGGTCATGGGAGTATTTGAAAAGAAGGATTGAGGCATTGACAGGCCACAAATCAATATAAGACAGCAAGCACATGGGTGATGAATGAATGTAACTTGGTGTAAGGTAGGGTGGTCGTAGCTGACTTTTGGATGACCTCAAGTTCACAGGAGGCAGAAGGTGGAAGGACAGAAATGGAATAATTCATCTACATGTAACATAGATAACAAAGATATGAGCAAGGATTTTAGCAGCTGATGAGCTCAGGCGGAGTTTAATTGGGCAAAATCATAATGAATCCTGCATACCTCTTTCGAATACTGTGACAAAATATCATTGAACTTTCGCATCATTTGTTTGTTGATAGCTTCACGTGAGCGGATATGCTTAAATCTCAACAACATGTCAAAAGCTGCTTCTGCAGAGCGAAGGTTCTTGAATGATTCATCAATAAAGTTCTTTGCTTCCCCTTCAATTAACTACAAAATCAATGAAGCAACATTATTTATATTGCTAAATTAATTAAATTTATTTATAAAGAAATGGCATTGTAGAAGTCAATGGATTGCATTACAACACTGACTCTAAGCAGTCCATCCAATAAATGCCCCATGGGGTTGAAACAAGTAGGCCTAAAAGCCCAGGTTCAATCTCAGTCTCTGCTGGGCTTAGCTGCTCTCAGTTGGAATATAACAATTGTTTTGAAGTTTCAAAAATAAGAAACAAAAAAAAAATCATATCAGGTTCTGCGGGCCAACTGATGTCCAGCTATTCTATATTCCCTATCAAAGTGCCATAAAATTATCGCTTGATAGTTCAGTAGATAACTGAATTGTCTGGCTATATGGACTAGGCTATAGATTCAATTCCCATTGAGTTCAATAACCTCAACTGGAGTCATAGTGAGATTATACCAGCTTCAGCACCCAAAGTGAAACACAGAAATCCATCCAGGATGCTCACTATTGTTCAGTGGTTGTATTGAACGGTTTGCGCGTTTATCAATATTTTCTAAACTGGTTCAGACATCTTATTACACATCTCTGGAGCACATAGAACTTGAACTTGAACCCGAGTTTCCTGGCTCACAGGTAGGGATACTACCATTGTGTCATAGCAGCCCATGCGTGTGTTGATCTTTTCTTTTAAATCCAGAAGTGCTCTCACACACAAACGTATGATTTTTCTTTCCTCATACACATAATTATCTTTTTCTTTATTTAACCTACTTTTCTTATCAACCTGTTCAAAGATGTTATTACACACCTCTGGAGTAAGTGGAACTTGAACCCGGGCCTCAGATGAGAGACCAGATTGGATTCAGCTGCGAAGTCTTTCAAGGGAAAACAGTTCATCAGTCCCTGGTGTCCTAGCTCACACAAAAAATGGCAACTTGACTAAGAGACAAGAGGGGTGCTGGCAGCCATGAAATTATATCCCATCAAACAGGCATGCAGCCTGGAGCAAAGGGTAAGAAGAGTAAAGCATACACGGCCTCCACATCTGGAAATGGCATCAATGCAATTGGAAGAATCAGTTCTGTGACTTTTCCTTTCAAAACCAATCAAGTCAAAGCAGATTGGATCACCTGAGCAATATTTTTGGTAGAAACCCATGAGATCCCAGCGCAAGGTCCATTATTATTTTCCACTTCCTTGAAGGACTATTTGCATAATTTAAATGAGAAAAGTGTGTGCAGATCCTTCACCCCAGAAAACAATGAAATATGGCGTAGAAATATTTGATAACAAGTTGAAAAAAAGGCAAAATTACTTGTTTCTGCATACCAATAATCCTCTATGTGAGAATTTTTAAATATTAATGCTTTTAACATGAAGCAGATTTCAACATTAAAACGTTGAAACAGTTCAATCATTAAAAGTATTTCCAATGTTACTATACCTGAACCTGAGTATCAAAATCCTCCATAACAACCTTCCACATTTGGGTATGACGAATGTTAAACAAATCAAAGGATAACTGCTCAATAGGTACAACCAGATCATTAACCCTTTTCACTACATCATCAATTCGCTTAGGGTCTCCAGTTACAGCCTTCAGTTCTGGCCCAAATATGTTGTAAAATTCTTCCCGTATCTGTTGATTTAACAAGATCATTAGATGATTTTCTTTATTTAATCTGTGTTGCTGTTATGTTCATAATGATTAACAGAAAAATAAATTTCTTCATGACAATGAAATTTGCACTTATTACTTAGTCATGACTTTCTAAATCTGCAGAGCAACTGTTTCTTACCTTGTATCTAAAATAAACCTGCATGTATGTCTCTGTATAACTTGAATTCTTGTTATAGTCTAATTTCTTTAATCATTTACAGGATGAGGGCGTCGCTGGCTAGGCAGCATTTATTGCCCATCCCTAATTGCCCAGAGGGCAGTTAAGAGTCAACCACATTGCTGTGGGTCTGGAGTCACACGTCGGCCAGACCAAAAAAACAAAGTTGCTGGAAAAGCTCAGCAGGTCTGGCAGTATCTGTGAAGAAAAAACAGAGTTAACGTTTCAGGTCCGGTGACCCTTCCTCAGAACCGCTCTGAGGTGTTTGTTAGGTAAAAATGGCAGTTTCCTTCCCTAAAGGACATTAGTGAACCAGATGAGTTTTTCCCAACAATCAACAATGGATTCATGGTCATCATTAGACTCTTAATTCCAGATATTTATTGAATTCAAACTTCACCATCTGCCATAGCAGGATTTGAACCCAGGTCCCCAAAACATTATTTGGGTCTCTGAATTAACAGCCCACTGATTATACCACTGGGCCATCACCTCCCATCATCTCTAATGATGCCTTTTGTGTTACTTTTTCCTACTATAATTCCTGATGTTAAGGTAGAATATGAATTTCTAAGGAAAAGGAGCAATTCAGGCATAGGTCAGGACAGTGAAGTTGAGCATCAGCCACAATTTTATTAAATGACCAGACAGGTTTGCAAGACTATATACACACCTTCTCACTTCTTCCTTATGTCAATTTAACTGTTAGATTTTATGGTTTCTAATTTTTAAAAATGTGTATACTGCATCTGTTTTATTGTGGCTTTCCAGATATTCCTTTCTCCTGTTTGTTTATGGCAATCCTGCAGCTATTCACTGGCCTTCCGCTGTATTTCTCGTATGTTTTCTCAGCTCCCCTGCAAGCTGCCAGGTATTTCCATGCCATTAGCATGTGTCATCCATTTTCAGTTTTTTAAACACTAACCCACTCCTTACAAGGACAGCCTGTGATTTATATTGTCCACTTAATGCTGAAAAATGTCTCAAAGCATTTCACGGAGATGTGCATGGTGCATGGTGAGTCAAAGAACAAGATTTTAGGGGGGTCATGAAATGCTTGATCGGAAATAATTCATCTTAAGTACAATATTAAAAGAGGTATGAATACACAGGTGGCTCTGGCAAATTTGAGAAGTTGTGAAGATTAAGATACTGAAGGCCTGGCCAACAATGTGGCATTGAAAAGAATCGGGGAGTGGAGGGTCTTTTTTTTCCTTTATTCATTCATGGGACGAGGGCATTGCTGGCTAGGCAGCATTTATTGCCCAGAGGGCAGTTAAGAGTCAACCACATTGCTGTGGGTCTGGAGTCACATGTAGGCCAGACCAGGTAAGGATGGCAGTTTCCTTCCCTAAAGGACATTAGTGAACCAGATGGGTTTTTCCTGACAATCAACAATGGATTCACAGTCATCATTAGATTCTTAATTCCAGATATTCATTGAATTCAAATTCCACCATCTGCCGTGGCAGGTTTCGAACCCAGGTCCCCAGAATGTTATCTGGGTCTCTGGATTAACAGTTCAGCAATAATACATCTAAGTGTCCTTTCCCTTATAAAATATCAGATTATTGACATTTCTTATTCGTTACCTCCCTTGTAGATCATAATGTGACATGTCACAACTGTCCTTGCTCATAGAAGATACTTTTGGAAAGAAGGAGTTTGCATAGGATAGAAGAAAATGGTTTCTGTTGCCCAAAAGAAACAAAGCTTTAATCATACCACAATCCTCTCCACCTTTATATCTGACCAAATCACCACAACACTCCACAAAAGTATTGAAAAAGAAATCTCTCACCATTTTTCTCCACAAGGAAGGAGTTGACAGTTTATAAATATTTTTGAATCTAAAACATAAACTTGCATATCAATTAGACTCCAATTAATTTCAGGTTTGCCTATTTAATTATTTTGGATTTTGTGACAGTAAATAAACAGGCTTATGTTACGCATAATAATACATTATTCATTACCAACAATAATGTTCCTGTCTTTACGAAATATGAGCAACTTGTAGAAGATTGGGAGTAATGCATTAAAAATCTAGTGCAGAGATTATCTTTCACTTGTATGTCCCTCTCTTCATTTAGAATCAAATACTGCCTTTGTAAACCTGTCGCTTTATAATTACATTCTCTAACCAGGTGACACTGCACTGCAAGGAACTGACACAGCAACAACAACGGGACTGGGATACTTATAGACAGTTGTTAGTATAGATGATAAGCACAGAGAATTAACAAATACATAAAAATTACCTATGCTTCCGTTTTCTTATAATATCCCTGGTCGTCCAAGGTTCACATAAATTGCCGTACCTATCCTTCATTCTCGCAGGAACGAATTGCATGATTTCGAAATGGGTTTGGGTCGCGGCTGCACATGTTGGCCCCACTATCTCCACTGTACACATTGAACCTGGGGAGGCAGTTGCTTAGTAGTAATTTTGGTGGACGAGTAATTTATGAACCCCCAAGTTAGTGCTCTGGGGATACTGGTTCAAATCTCATCATGGCAGATGGTAAACTTGAATTCAATAATTTCAATAATTCTGGAATTTAAAAAAAAGCTAATCTAATGGTGACCATGTAACCAACATTGATTGTGGTAATGTCCTCGAGGGAAGAAATCTGCCAACCTTACCTGGCTTACATGTGACTCCAGACTCACATTACTCTCAGCTGCCCTCTGAACACTGAGATGGCAATAAACACTGGTTATGTCCATATCCCATGAACAAATCTGAAAAGAGAAGACCAGCTGATAAGAGTTCAGGAGTGGGACATTCCTGCAAGAATGAAGGATAGGTACAGCAATTTATGTGAACCTTGGATGACCAGGGATATTATGACCTTGGTCGGAAAGAAAAAGCAAGCAGACGTAATGTCTAGGAGGATGCAAACTGACAAAGCCCTTGAAGTATGTAAGGAAAGTAGGAAAGAACTTAAACAAGGAATTAGAAGGGCTAAAAGGGGCTATGAAAAGCCGTTAGCAGACAGGATTAAGGAGAATCTTTTATACATATATAAAAAGCAAGAGGGTAGCCAAAGAATGGGTTGGCCCACTCAATGACAATGAAGGGAATCTATGTGTTGAGCCAGAAGAGGTAGGTGAGGTCCTAAATGAATACTTTGTATTGGTATTCACCAAAGAGAAGGAATTAGTGTAGATTGTGTCAGGGAAGGGAGTGTCGAGTTTCTAAGCCAAATCACTATTAAAAAGGAAGAGATGATATGCGTCTTAAAAGGTATTAAGGTACATAAGTCTCCAGATCCTGATGGGATCTATCTCAGAATATTGAGGGAAGCAAGAAAACAAATTGCTGGAGCACTGACAGACATCATTGCATCCTCTTTAGCCACAGGTGAGGTCCCAGAGGACTGGAGAATAGCCAATGCTGTCCCATTGTTCAAGAAGGGTAACAGTTCTGAGGAAGGGCCATTGGACCCAAAACGTTAACTCTGATTTTCTCTTCACAGATGCTGCCAGACTTGCTGAGCTTTTCCAGCAAATTCTGTTTTTGTAACAGGGATAATCCTGGAAATTACAGGCCTGTGAGCCTCATGTCGCTGGTAGGGAAATTATTGAAAAAAATTCTCAGGGACAAGACCAATACGCATTGAGAAGCAAAAGGACTTATTGGTGATAAACAGCATGGTTTTGCATGGGGAAGGTCATGCCTCACTAACTTAATCGAATTTTTTGAGGAAGTGACGAAGATAATTGATGACGAAAAAGCAACTGATGTTGTCTACATGGACTTCAGTAAAGCCTTTGACAAGGTCCCTTATGGAACACTGGTACAAAAAGTGAAATGACATGATATCGGGCTGAGCTGGCAAGATGGATACAGAACTGACTTAGTTATAGGAGACAGAGGGTAGCAGTGGAAGGATACTTTACAGAATAGAGGGTTGTGACTAATGGTGTTCCACAGGGATCAGTGTTGGGACCTCTGCTGTTCATGATCTACATAAATGATCTAGAGGAAAACATTATTGATCTAAATAATAAGTTTGTGGATGATACAAAGATTGCTGGTGATGCATTTTGGAAGGTGAAATACAGGCAGAAATTATACAGTGAATGGCAGTATTGATATGCAGGGGGATCTGGATGTGCAGGTCCACAGATCACTGAGGTGGCAGCAAGATAGATAAGGCAGTAAAAAGGGCTTATAACACGCTTGCCTTCATTGGAAGGGGTATTGAGTATAAGGACAGAAAAGTTACGCTGCAGCTTTATTGTACTTTAGTTAGGCCACACTTGGAAAATTGCGTACCGTTCTGGTCACCATACTACCAGAAGGATGTGGATGCTTTGGAGAGGGTACAGAAAAGGTTCACCAGGATGTTGCCTGGTATGGGGGATTTTATCTATGAAGAAAGGTTGGATAGACTGGGTTTGGTTTCACTGGAATGCAAGAGGTTGAGGGGCGACATGATTGAAGTTTTTAAGATTGTGAATGGCACGGATAGAGTGGAAAGTATGAGGCTTTTTTCCAGAGTGGAGGGATCAATTACTAGGGGACATAGGTTCAAGGTGTGAGGGGAGTAAGTTTAAAAGAGATGTGCAAGGCAACTTTTTCACACAAAAGGTGAGTGCTTAGAACATGTTGCCAGAGGGGAAGCACCTGAACAAATACATGAATAGGAAGGGAATAGACGGATACAGGTCCTGTAAGTGAAGACAGTATTAGTATGGAAGGGCAAAATGTGTCAGCACAAGCTTAGAGGGCTGAAGGGCCTGATCCTGTGCTGTATTGTTCTTTGCTCTCTTTGACCACACTCAATCATGCTTTTGACCACAAGGAGTCAACTAGTAACTATTGTAATCACCCACTTCAGAAAAAAGTCACTAAAGCACTAAACTACTGCCAGGATTGGAGGGTTTGAGCTAAAGGGAGAGGCTGAATGGGCTGGGGCATTTTTCCCTGGAGTGTCAGAGGCTGAGAGGTGACCTTACAGAGGTTTATAAAACCATGAGGGTCATGGATAGCATAAATAGCCAAGGTCTTTTCCCCAGGGTAGGGGAGTCCAAAACTATAGAGCACAGGTTTAAAGTGAGAGGAATAAGATTTAAATGGAACCTAGTGGCAACTTTTTCACACAGAGGATGGCGTGTGTATGACATGAGCTGCCAGAGGAAGTGAAAGCTGATATAGTTACAACATTAAAAAGGCATTCGGATGGGTACATACATAGAACATAGAACAGTTCAGCACAGTACAGGCCCTTTGGCCCACGATGTTGTGCTGAACTTTTACCCTAAACCTAAGGTCTATCTAACCTCCACCCCTACCTTATACTATCATCCATATGCCTATCTAATAGCCGCTTAAATGCCCCTAATGAGGTTGACTTCATTACTCTCTCCGGCAATGCATTCCACGCCCCTACCACTCTCTATAGGAAGGGCTGAGAGGGATATGGGCCAAATGCTGGCAAATGGTACTAGATTAATTTAGGATATCCAGTCAGCATGGACGTGTTGGACTGAAAGGACTGTTTCCATGCTGTATAGCTCTGTGACTCTAGGACTCTAAATAACAACAATATTTTCAAAAAAGGATATCCCTTAAAAAGCAAAACAATTTCACCTAGAACAGAATATGGGAGGACATTTTTTTCTTTCACTTGCATACCTGTAAGATTTCATAAATATTTTGACAGATGTTAATCATGTAATCTGTATTCTCAAATAGTCTTTTCCGATCAAATTCCCATCGTTGATCTCTTCCTGAAGCTTCAATTTTAGCACGGATATCAAAGTATGAGTCTTTCCATACTTGGAGGGTGCGTTTAGCTTCTGAAACACTTTGTCTTGCTGCAGCTGAGTTCTTCCTTTTAAATAAAGATATTGGTCTTGATCAGATTGCAGAGGAAAGGGAACAGTACCTTAACACTGCTGGCTGTTGTTTATGTGAGTGTTACACCCAACCAGGACTGTAGAGACTGTAAAGTCACAAGACCATAAGACGTAGGATTAGAAATATGCCATCCATCCTACTGAGTCTGCTCTGACATTCAATGAGATCATGATTGATCTGATAATGTTCTCAACACTACTTTCCTGATTTTTGTCCATAACTGATCATAAATATTCTTAACGACCCAGCCTTTACACCTTTAAAACATCTTTACAGCCTTTAAAAAATTCCACAGATTCACTACCCTCTGAGAGAAGAAAATCCTCCCCATGTCTGTTGTGACAATACTCTCTTCACCTGACGAAGGGGGTACGTTTCAAAAGCTTGTGTTTTCAAATAAACCTGTTGGACTGTAACCTGGTGTCATGTAATTTCTGACCTTGTCCATCCCAGTCCAACACCAGCACCTCCACATCATGACAATACTATGGCTTTAAGAGGTGTACTTTGTTCTGTTTTGTTTTAATGAAGGGTGGTTGAGACAGAAGATCTGAGCAGTCTGTTCAAAGACAATAAAGTAAACAACTTGTGAGGCCTTGGGGTTTTTTTAAAAGTTGGAACAATAGAAACAGCATGAATGGGTGGAGTCAGGTTCCACAGAACCAGGCTTTTAGTTTAGTTTTCAGTAGTTGCAGGGTTTTTTTGTTTTGAAGGCTGGTTTTGAAGCTGCGATATGTCTCTTCCTGCTACAGCATAATGCTTGAGTTCTCTCTCTTTGCCAGAATTTTCTCTTAATGTTCTTTCCTCGTGGACTGGAGAAATATTGCATGTGAGACAGTCTATTTTATTGAATTTGCCTTTGCCAAGAGTGTATTTATGGGATGTTACTGTATTGAAACAGATGCTGTTTAGTAGTTAGTAATTTTCACCATGGATATCCAGTCCCTATATACTTGCATTTCCCCATGCAGATGGCCTAAAAACCCTCCGCTTCTTCCTCTCCCGCAGGCCCGACCAGTCACCCTCCACTGACACCCTTATCTGCTTAGCTGAACTTGTCCTTACCCTTAACAACTCCTCCTTCAACTCCTCCCACTTCCGACAGACAAAGGGGATGGTTATGGGTACCCGCATGGGCCCAAGCTATGCCTGCCCCTTTGTAGGATATGTGGAACAGTCTCTCTTCCACAGCTACACTGGCACTATCCCGCACATTTTCCTCCGTTACATCGATGGCTGTATCGGCACCACCTCGTGCTCCCACGAGGAGCTCGAACAGTCTATCTGCTTTACTAACACCTTCCACCCCAACCTTAAGTTCACCTGGACCATCTCTGTTACCTGTCTGTCCTTCCTGGACCTCTCTGTCTCCATCTCTGGCAACCACCTGGAAACTGATATCTATTTCAAGCCCACTGACTCCCACAGCTACCTAGAATACACCTCCTCTCACCCACCTTCCTGCAAGAATGCTATCCCCTATTCCCAATTCCTTTGCCTCCACCGCATCTGCTCCCAAGATGAGGCATTTCACTCCCAGACATCCCAGATGTCCTCCTTTGTCAAGGACCGCAATTTCCCCTCCACAGTGTCAAAAACGCCCTCAACCGCATCTCTTGCATTTTCCGCAACCCATCCCTCACACCCCCTCCCCGCAATAACAACAAAGACAGAATTACCTTTGTCCTCACATACCACCCCACCAACCTCCGGATTCAACGCATCATCCTCCACCACTTCTGCCACCTGCAATCTGATCCCACTACCAAGGACATTTTTCCCTCCCCACCCTTCTCTGCCTTCCGGAGGGACCACTCTCTCCGTGACTCCCTCGGCGGCTCCATACTCTCCACTAGCCCCACCACCCCTGACACTTTTCCCTGCAACCGCAGGAAGTGCTACATCTGCCCCTACACCTCCCCACTCACCCCCATCCCAGCCCCCAAGAAAATCTTCCACATTAAACAGATGTTCAACTGCACATCTGCTAATGTGGTATATTGTATCTGCTGTTCCCGATGTGGCCTCCTCTACTTTGGGGAAACCAAGCGGAGACTTGGAGACCACTTTGTGGAGCACCTATGCTCAGTTCATGACAAATGACTACACCTGCCGGTCGCAAACCACTTCAACTCCCCCTCCCACTGCTTGGACGACATGTCCAAGGCCTCCTCTAGTGCCACAACGATGCCACCCGAAGGCTGGAGGAACAGCAACTCATATTCCGCTTGGGAACCCTGCAGCCCAATGGTCTCAATGTGGATTTCACAAGCTTCAAAATCTCCCCACCCCCAACCTCATCCCAAGACCAGCCCAGCTCGTCCCCGCCTCCTTGGCCTGTCCATTGTTTCTCCCACCTACCCGCTCCTCCCACCTCACTGACCAACCTCCACCCCCACTTCCTACCTACTAGCCTCATCCCCACCTCCTTGACCTGTCCGTCTTCCCTCCCACCTACCCGCCCCTCCCTCCCAACTGACCAACCCCCATCCCAACTCCCTACCTACTCTCACCTTTACTGGCTCCATCCCTGCCTCCTTGACCTGTCCGTCTTCTCTCCACCTATCTGCTCCTCCATCCTCCTTCCATCATCATCTCCCCCTCTCTCTATTTATTTCAGAATCTCCTTCCCCTCCCCTATTTCTGAAGAAGGGTCCAGACCCAAAACATCAGCTTTCCTGCTCCTCTGATGCTGCTGGCCTGCTGTGTTCATCCAGCTCTATACCTTGTTATCTCAGACTCCGGCATCGGCAGTTCCTACTATCTCTGTTTAGTAGTTAAACAGGTTCTGAGGAAGGGTCACCGGACCCAAAATGTTAACTCTGATTTCTCTCCACAGATGTTGCCAGACCAGCTGAACTTTTCCAGCAATTTCTGCTTTTGTTTCCTCTTTCTTTTGTTTGCATTTTAATTAAATGTAAGAATAAAACGTGTTTTGCTTAAAATCAAGTAGTATAACTTCAAATCAAGTAGAGTTACACCTGGAATACAGCACCTTACACTTACATTTAAATAAGATAAAAGTTAGGATCTAGGCCATCTTCTTGATATATTTGAAGGGGGTTTGGTCTGGTCCATAACACAGAAACTCCCTCACTCTGAGATTATGCCCTCTGGTACCACACCCTCCCACATGTAGAAACACTCTTTCCACATTTAGACTGTCAAGTGCCCTAAAAATCTTATGTATCTTATATGAGAGGTCACCTCTCATTTTTTTAAACTCTAATGACTACAGGCCCAAGCTACTCAATCTCTCTTTCATATAAAAAATTCCCCCCATATCTGGGATCAACCTAGTGAACCTTCTCTGGACTGCCCACAAAGCCAGTATCTCTCTCCTTAGATAGGGAGACTTTAGTTTTCTGTAGCTTTTTTCCATTTAAATAATATTCAGTTCCTCTATTCTTCCTGTCAAAGTGCACAACACCCCGTTTCCCACATTATATTTCATCTGTCAACTTTTTGCCCATTCACTTAACCTGTCTACATCCCTTTGTAAACTCTCTGTATCTTTCACAGCATTTGCCTTCCCACCTATATCTGTGTCATCCACAAGCTGGCTGTTGTATATTCACTTCCATCAACCAAGTCATTAATATATTTTGTATACAATTGTAGCCCTCGCACCAATCCCTGTGGCACTCCACTAGTTATAGGTTGCCATCTGGAAAATGCCACCCTTAACCCAAATTTGTCTTCTAGTAAAAATAATAGAAATTGCTGGAGAAATTCAGCAGGTCTTGGAGAAAGAAATAGGGTTACCATTTCAAGTCTAGTGATACTTCTTCAGAACTGTCTTCTATTAGTTAGCCAAACCTCAATTCACATTGTGTATTCTTGTGTTATTCTGCTATTACATCCTAACATTTTCCCTATAACACATGTTAAGATACATGGCCTGTAGTTACCTATCTTTTTGTCACTGTCCCTTTCTAAATAAAGGTGTTCCATTGCCAACTTTTCAATTCTCTGGGGCTTTTCCAAAATCTAAGGATTCTTGCAAGTTACAACCAGTGCATTCACTATCTCTGATATAACAACGTGTAGAGCTGGATGAACACAGCAGGCCAAGCAGCATCAGAGGAGCAGGAAAGCTGACGTTTCGGGTCTAACCCTCTTTAAAACTTTTTGTTCATCTTAGTTGGTAATTAAAAGATTCCAAATCCTCTGATTTACTCCTAACTGTTACTACATTGTATTTTTTTTCTTTAAATTTGATACTAAGCTTAATTTTCTCAGTTAACAGTGGATGGTTTATCCTCTTTCCTCACTGGAATTTATCTATGTTGTGAATCATGAACTCTAGGCTAAACCTTGCATTTTTTTTTCGATAGGTCCGAGTTACACAAGGTTTTGGAAGATTCATTGCCGCAAGGCCTCCCTGTGTCTTACCGAACTCACCTCATTAATTTCCTACCTGACCCCTATGGCCTTCCTCATGTCCAATTTCTTCCCCATTTTACCATGCACCATTCCCAGACCAATTTACCACTCAGCGAGAGAATTCTTATCTAGTTACTTGTGTTCTTATTGTACCATTTATTGGTCAAGATTTGACACTTAAAATCCTTATTTAGTTTAACTTTAAAATTTATTCATTCTCATTAATTTGACAATTTTCAACTAAGCTGCTACATGGTTCACTGAAATATAAGTTCATGGGAACATCCCACAATTCTTTCCAGTAGCAACCATAAAAAGGTTGCACGCATTCCACTAATTTAAAACAAAGAGCAAGGCAATCTGAAAATAAACTAAAGAGTATGCTGCAATAGGACAATACTTTTTCAATGCTCTCTGTTCACCACTGATGATTGTGCCATTAGCCGTATCCTCCGAATTCCACCTTCTAAAGTTCTGTGCCTCTCTCTCTATAACACTTAGAACTTCATTAAAACCTGACCAAACTTTGATTCAGCTTTTCCAATATTTCCTTTCTGGTTGCTGTCTACTTTTCTCTTGTTATGCCTCTGTGAAGCACTTTGGGATAATCTTCTATCTTAAATAGGCTGCATAAATGCAATTTGCTATTACTGTAGTATAAAAGAACCTAATGAAAGTATTATGATAATCCAAGTAAATCATCCCAACAGCAGCTTGTATTCCATATTCTGTACTAACACATGCACATATTTCCACACATCCGTGGAATTTTAAATATCACTGAAGTTGCTTACCTGAAAATTGTCCGTACATTGATTACTTTACGGACTCTTTGCGAAATCTCCCATGCAATCCTTTCCATAAGTGGCACCATTCGCTCATCCTTGTTGTAGTGGCGAGAAATAATCCAAACCATCCTCAAGGCATTCATCATTGAAGGAATTGTATCTATAACAACTTGAAATCTTGATCCATGTGCTAGGTTCTAATAAGCGTGAATACATTTTAAAAATTGCACACAATACATTCATATATAAACGTAATGTGGAGGTGCCAGTGTTGGACTGGGGTGGACAAAACCAGAAGTCACACGACACTAGGTTATAGTCCAACAAGTTTATTTGAAATCACAAGCTTTCAGAATGTAGCCCCTTCACCAGGTGAAGTGAGAGACAAGCACACAGAACACTGAATTTATGGGCAGAAAGATCAAGGGCAGAGAGATCAAAAGGTGTGAGTGGAGTGTCGAATAGTAAGTCTCTGCAGGTGATCAACAACTGAATAACAAGCGAAGGGATGATCTACAATCCGATTAAATGAGGCAGAGAGATAATTACAAAAGACTAAAAATAAGGTGGTGCTGGAGACAAACTAAAAGACTGGATTAACAAGTAACAAGTTTCTGCTTGGTGATTCTGCAAACTGATAGCCAAGTTTCCGTACCCATGAAGACGGTCTCAACTGTGATTTTGGGTTCATGTCGCATGACATGTGACCGCATCATACTGTTCTGTATCCGAAAAATCTTCCTTACTATCCTGTTTTGACACCATCATCTTGATAAATTGTTATGATCTCTCTACCTTAATTAGTTTATACAGTTTTGGATTACTTATTACTTTGGTTAGACCCTCGGCATGCAACTCTTAAACCTTTCATGTTATTCCATCCATTTGGTTTGTCTCCAGCACCACTTTATTTTTAATTTCTTGTAATTATCTCTCTTTCTCATTTAATTGAATTATACAGAAACATAGAAGATAGGAGCAAGAGGAGCCCACTCGGTCCTTCAAGCCTGCTCCACCATTCTTCACAATCATAGCTGGTCATCCCTTCGCTTGTTATTCAGCTGTTGACACTTTACTCACATCATCTAACACTTTTGATCACCTGCAGAAACTTATTATTCGACACTCCACTCATACCATTTGTACAATATTTTGATTTCTCTGCCCTTGATTTTTCTGCCAATAAATTCAGTGTTCTGTGTGCTTCTCTCTCACTTCACTTGATGAAGGGGCTACATTCCGAAAGTTTGTGATTTTAAACAAACCTGTTGGACCTGGTGTCCAACAAACCTGGTGTCATGTGATATATAAACATAAACAGTGTTAACATGAGACCGGCTGAGCAGTTTTGATCAAGGTAACAAAGAATCAGAGGATATCAGTGAATCGTGGAACAGGAAGAGTATCATTGGCAAAACAAGTTTTTTTTACAATATAATAAAGTAGTCAGCTTCACGAGTGCATGATTTACACAATCATTTTTGATCATGGGAAGAATCAAGGCATAACTACTTAGAAATCTTTCCACAGGAAATGATCAACTTTGATTGCTCTCAGCCACTTCAAAGCTCACCATTTACATGACTGGAGACACCTGACCTCACCAAAAGTTTGCAACAGGGAGACTTTGCTTGAAAGGGGAATAGCCCAGCTCTTCATTAGAATAAGAGGAATTCAGCTATTCAGACATCCTCAAAGGAGCATTGAGGTGGAATACAAATGATAGGAATACGATGATGAAGAAAGAGGTAAAAGACAGCTAGAAAGTATTCAAAATTTAAGATAAAAACATAATCAAACGATTAGTAAAATGTGATGTAGGAAAATCACATTTTTTAAATCCAGTATTTGCTCTGTCAACGGTGCTGTCTTTTCTTCAGACATTAAACAAAAGGCTATTTGTCATACCAGGGGAACATACAAGATTTCATATGTTCTAAAAAGATCAGGGAAACTCACTCCCATTTCTTTCAGCTTTAATTGTTACATTCTCTGTCACCATGTCCTCTCTCTCCTCCCCCCACTCCAGTGGAACCGTCTGTTCTTTCCAGTTTGGCAGTTTGATACACCATTGTTCTGCCATTCTCACATTCTGATCACTTAATCTGCAATATCAGCACTCCTTCTCCCTCACCACTCCACAACCACCCTCCCACTACTTTTTTATATATAGAATCCCTACAATGTGGAAACAGGCCATTTGGCCCAACAATTCCACAGTGACTGTCCAAAGAGCATCCCACCCAGACTCACCCGTTACCCTATCCCTGCATTTCCCATGGCTAATCCACCTAACCTACATATCCTGGGTCACTATGGGCAATTCAGCATGGCTAAGCCAGCTAACCTGCACAGCTTTGGACTGTGGGAGGAAACCAGAGCACACGGACAAAACCCACGTAGACACAGGGAGAATACGTAAACTCGGACAGTTGCCCGAGGCTGGAATTAAACCCACGTCCCTGATGCTGCGAGGCAGCAGTGCTAACCACTGAGCCATCATGCCTATTGCATAAATGCTGCCCCCTCCACACTTCACGTCAGCTCTGATGAAGTATCACGTAGATTCAAAACATTAGCTTGCTCTCTCTCCATGGATGCTGCCTGACCTGCTGTGATTTCCAGCACTATTTTTTCCCCAGGGCGATTTCCTCAGCATTTTCCCGAATATTTTCCTCTTAGTCAACAATACCAAAAAAAGAGATAATCACGTCATTAACAGTTTACATTTTGTGGAATTCTGGTGTGTGCAAATCGGATGTTGATTTTTTAAACATTATGGCAGTGGCTCCATTTCAAAAATACTTCTATGGCTGTAAAATTCAAAGCATGACAACTGCAAGTTCTTTCTTTTGTCAAAATGTCAGAAATCACATGACACCAGGTTATATAGTCTGATATGTTTATTTCAAAACACAAGCTTTTGGAGACTTACTCCTTCTTCAGGTGCTAATGAGAGAGGTGGTATCAGACGCAAAATTTATAAGTAAAAGATCAAAGGGTCACACCACTGATGAGGATGCACTAAACAAACCTAAGATGCTGTTACAACTTTAATTAGTTAGAAGGTTTTAATTGATTAATATGTATATGTAAATCCCCAAATTCCTTTCAAGTCACGATCCTGAGAGAATTAAAGGTTTTATCAGTGTAAAGAAAATCCACCAGCACCTTCACACTTTGTCAAAATGAGCATTATTACAATATATCAGACATATTTCCATTACAGTTTTACATGTGAGATAACAAGGTGTAGAGCTGGATGAACACAGCAGGCCAAGCAGCATCAGAGGAGCAGGAAGGCTGACGTTTTGGGCCTAGACCCTTCTCCAGCATCTGCAGTTCCTACTATCTCTGAAACAGTTTTACATGTAACTGCTTCACACAAAGTTCAATTTTTTGGTCAATTTCACTGACACCTTTACATGCACTGATTGAGAAATGGGTGTTCTGCAGAAATGACCAACTGAAATCAGTGCAAAACAACCATTTCTAAAATAACAGACAGAGTCATAGAGATCTACAACATGGAAATAGGCCGTTTGGCCCAACTTGCCCTATGTTCATAATTTAAACTAGTCCCATCTGCCTGTATTTGGTCTATATCCCTCCATACCTAACCCATCCATGTACTTGTCTAAATGTTTCTTAAATGACAAAATTGTATTCGCTTCCAACACTACCTCTGGCAGCCCATTCCAGACACTCATCACTCTCCGTGTGAAAAAATTGCCCCTCTGAACTTTTTTGCATCTGTCCCCTCTGATCTTAAACATGATGATCAAGCTAAACCATGTCTGGCAGATTCACAGTATTAGTGATTTCATAACTTTCAAACAAAGTTCCTTTACTAGCCCATGAAAGAGAATTTTGTCTCATTGTAATGCTCACAGTAATAGAATAAAAGTGGACCCAATACAATGTTGTTCTTGCTCATCAATATAATTTATCAACTGAACCACTGGGAGAGGAGCATCACAAAATAGTCACTGTTTTTGTCTATGATATTAAAGAAAATTATCAAATTGTCATTACCTTAAAATGCCGTTCAAGCGTTGAAAGGAATCTGACATTGTCTGCAGCTTCCACATGGTACTTGTTGAGGTCAGTAATGATTAAATTTAGGTTCTGGATTAAACCTTGGTCAACTCTGCTCACAAAGTCAACAATCTTCTTCACCACAGGCAGTTTCAACTGTTCGCTGAGAGCACTGAGGGTCGCATTACGTTCACGCCAGAAATCAATCTCTGCTAATGGACCATTACCCTAAGGAATAGATTCGTACATTATTTTGTGAAAAACAGAAAAGCATTCCTGATTTCAGCCTTAAAATGCATACAAATTAAAGAAGACATAACTGTGACTTAACAAGAGAGTACGAACATTCACTGCATCACAAATGTACCCAATTGGCAAGTGTATTTTACTGATTTGGGACATATTCAGAAGTGAGAAAGTTATGCTTAACTGTACAGAGCCTTGGTCAGACTCTAGCAATAGTAACTGTTCAGTTCTGGAAACAACATCTCAAGATGGATATACTGGCTTTGCAGGGGATGCTGCACAGATTCACTGGATCTCACAAGGCTTAGAATTAAATTATGAGAACATGCTTAATCTTCTTGATTTGTATCTTCTTGAATTTAGAGGATGAGGACCGATCCGACCAGGTGCTTAAAATGACCAAGTTATTCAATATTGTTTATTACATTTTGCTTTGTTGTCTGTAAAGAACACGGAGCTAATTAGTCAGGAACCATTTATTGTGTAAAAGTATTTCAGGGGATAGCACTTGCACCTGCACTAGACAGTCAGGTGATGTCTAATAGTTCAGCAGCCTCAGACAGTATTCTTACCAGGCATTAAAAACAAAACACTGCAGATGCTGGAAATCTGAAATAGACAAAGAGAATGCTGGAGAAACTCAGCAGCCTGATAGGAACAGAGTTAATGTTTCAAGCCAGATAAGACTTCTTCAGAACTGGGTCTTACCTTCTTGAAATGTTAACTGTTTCTCTCTTCACAGCTGCTGCCAAGCTTGCTGAATTTCTCTTGCATTCACTGTGCTTGTTTCTTTACTGGCATCATGGCAAACTACACTAAACAAAAGAGACTGTAACCTTTCCAAGTCTACAGTGTGATAATTTCTAAAATATGGGAATCAGAAGATAAGATCGTGATGATACAGAGAAACCATTTCCTCTGGGAGCGAAATCCAGAACAAAGGGCCACGACCCAGCAATACCATTTAAGAATGAAGTCAAAAAGTATAGTTTCTATACAAAGGATATGGGGAATTCAGAACTCACTCCCGAAAAGACTGTGGATGCAATGCATTAATAAAAATTTTTCAGAAACAAAAACAATGTTGCTGGAAAAGCTCAGCAGGTCTGGCAGCATCTGTGAAGGAAAAAAACAGAGTTGACGTTTCGGGTCCAGTGACCCTTCCTCAGAACAGAATTTTTCAGATTTGAACTCTGATAGAATGTCATCGACCTGAAGCATCAAGTCTGTTTCTCTCCATAGAAAGCATGTTTTTGTTTTCATTTTAGAATTCGGCATCTGATGTATTCTGTTTTTTTTCTGCATTAGATTTTTGGTGATGAAGGATTGCAAGAAATACGGTAGAGAGGCAAGTAAATGAAAGTACAGACTAGCCAGAATCTAACAGAATGACGGGTAAATAACCTATTCCTATCCATGTTTATATATCAGGAGTGTGCCAAAGGGCTTTCATGTTCAAGTAAAGAACTAGAATACCATACAAGGGATGGAGAGGATTCTTTACGATATATTTAAGATAATGAAGAAGACTGTAGCAATAAAAAACATATGGATTAGCACTGGTGACAGCAAAGTTCCCAATTAGTAAGTAAATAGTAAAATTAGCAAACGGTAAGTGCCTAATTGTTTACAGCTCTTGGTATCTACAATGAAGTCAATAATGCAAGTACAGTGGCGATTTAGTCAAGAATAACATCATTATACAATGGATCACGGGGTTATCCAAGTAAAAGAGTACCTACGTGTTAGTACTCGTGGCAGTTCCATATTTAGGAAGGTAATCTGACTTGAGGCAGAGATTCAAAATTGTTGGTTGTTTTAAGAAACCAGGAAAAAGGATAGCAAGGAGCAGGGGTGAGAAATCTTTGGGAAAGGGAAATAAACCAACCAGAAACCAAGTATGACACAAAAACCGCTGTCATCAGCCTGACTAGAATAGAGGTCTTGAAAAGGGGTTGAGATATAAAGGTGATAATTTCAGTGTTGCTCTCAGTGAATCTATTATTAGGAAAGTGGCTAGGTATCACAAGATAAAGATAGTAGAGAAAAAAAGGTTTCAATTTTGTAGGAAGGTGGAGCATGGAAATCTGTTCAAGGTTGAGCACTACTTTAAAAGAACTGGATAGCATAGCGGGCAAAAGGGGCAGGAGTTTAAAAAGCAAAGTGCTAGAAGGGCAACAAAAAATATGAAATTATGGCATCAATACCAGAAATCCAAACAAAGAAAGGCATGTTTAAAGGAACAAAAACAAATTGGTGGAGAAACTCAGCAGGTCTGGCAGCATCTGTGGGAAGAAAATAAAGTTAACGTTTCGAGTCGATGATTTCATCAGAACTGTTCAGATGATGAGACACTGGACTCAAAACATTAACTCTGCTTTCTACCTACAGATGCTGCCAGACCTGCTGAGTTTCTCCAACAATGTCTGTTTTTGTTTTAGATCTCCAGCATCTGCAGTTCTTTGTTTTATTTTAATATTTTAAGGAAGATGTTTATACAAATGCTAATAGTTTCTAATATTGAGCACTGAAATTACCAGTTTTTGAGCCCAGAGAATAATGGCAATAATGCTGACATTTTACTATTTTTATTAAATAATTAAATAGTTTACATGAATAAACATTCAAAAAGAGCTGGATGAGTCAATGCTTTGTGAAAGCCTAGATAAAATCATGTAAGTTTTGAATTTCCAGAAGACATCCTTGAAGAATAGAACCAACCTCCACTGGAAAAGGTAACAAGTGTCCTATTTGGATGTTAATAAGAAGTATAAGGCACCTGAGGCATCTTTGTCAGCTGTTCTTCAATAGCAGTTGTAATTTGCACCTGCCAGTTCATTATACTCTGTTCTAGTTTATCCATTATAACTTGGTCGAAAGCAAATTGGTTGAAATCTGCATCAATATCAATTGGTGGCATCTCGAGCTTGATCTCACCTGAGAGAAAAGAAAATGGGTTTACTTGGGAATATACTTGGGAATAACTATCAAATATCCAAATTTCTCCCAAAACTCCCTGTGGTTTTGTTGACACTCTCACTCACAGCAAATTGAAGGGACAGGGCAATGATTGGCATGTTACATGAACAAAGCACCCCGAAAGCAAGGTTAGGCTGTTCCTTTTCACAAGTGACACTTCTTGTCCCTTTCCCAATAGGATTAGGAGGTCTATACATTAAACTCTTGCCCGAAACAGTTGAGGCATGTTGTTATGTTCGAACAATACGTGACTAATGTTCCAACATCTTCTTTGTGTCTCTCTAATCAGTTAGGCAGGTCATAATCATAGTGAATTACCACCTCACTGGAGAATAATGATAATGATGCTGACAGTTAGTAGATCAGGCTGATGTCAGAAAATGTCCAACAGCTCAATCAGGGTATTAACAGGGTTACAATAGCTTGCAGGGAAAAGATTGTGTAAAAGCTTTGTATTCAAACTACATCTGGACCTTTTCTTATTATTATTTTACTTCTTATTTCAGCTGCTAATTTGGTTTACTTGAGCCTTCATGTAATTGTTTGGCAGTCTCATTACTGCAGGTAATAGATTTCTTAGATGTAAACAGTTTACAGCAAGTCAGCTGGCAGAGGAACACCAGCCAGGTTCAAAGCAACCCACTCGACTGGCACCCCATCCACCCCTTCATTCTCTTCACTACCAATGCTCAGTAGCAGCAGTGTGTACCATCCACAAAGCACACTGCAGCAACTCAACAAGGCTCCTCTGACAGCACTTTCCAAACACATGACCTCTACGATCCAGAACGTCAAAGGCAGCAAATACATGGGAACACCATCCCCTGCAAGTTCGCCCCTAAGCCACACATAACTCTGACTTGGAAATATATCACCTTCTTTTAACATCGCAGAGTGAAAATCCTGGAACTCCCTTCCTAACTGCATTGTGGGTTTACCTACACCACACAGACTTACAGCACTTCAATAAAGTTGCTCACCATCACTTTCCAATGAACCTTAAAGACGGGCACTAAATGTTGAACCAGCTAATGATGCTCAGAGCCTGTGAACAAATTCCAAAAAAAAGGTTTGCTGTATCAAAGGAATCTGCAAGATGGGTTAATGTTTGAGTAAGTAACAATGAAGAAGTTTCCTCTGATATGCTTCTGTCATGTTTTTGGTACTGTATAAAAGAAGCCATGTCAGGTCTGTAATACCCAGCATAAGCTGACTGCGTGTCTGCCAAGGTGCTACTAGTGATACGTGAGATGTATTTAGTCCCGCTCAATTTTTCCCATGGTTACTATAATGCAAGACTTGTATTCCCAGCTCAATAATACATGCACCTAAAAAAATAAGCGCAGCAACATTAAGACAACATAATATGAGCAGATATTAAGGAATGGGATTTGATCGACCCAGTGCTGGTCTTTCCCAGTGGTTGACTCAGTTCCTAGGCATATGGCTGATGCTACTGAGTTCTCATCAAGCACAAGTATTCACCATCAGACCTTCCCCTGGATCTGCACTCACCAGATGCCCAAGATCACCAAATGGCTTCAGGCCAAAGGTAAGTGACAGCAGGATGGGGCTTGAGGGGTACGGGTCACAAGAGGTGGGAGACAGGGAGCAGGAAACAAAAATACAGGGAGTAGTGAGCTGCCTTCTTGAACTACTGCAGTCCTTGTGCTGTAGGTAGACACACAATGTCCTTTGGGACAGAATGCCAGGATTTTGACCCAGGAACGCTGAAGGAACAGCAATATATTTCCAAATCAGATAGTGAGTTGCTTGGAGGGGAACTTATAGGTGGTAGTGTTCCTATCTGTCTACTGCCCTTGTCCTTCTAGGTGGAAGGTGCTGTCTAAGAATCTTTGGCAAACTTCTGCAGTGCATCTTGTCGATAGTACACACTACTGCTACTGAGCGTCAGTGGTGGACGGAGTGGACGTTTATGCTTGTGGGTATTGATCAAGCAGGTTGCTTAGTCCTGGATGGTGGCAAATTTCTTGAATGTTGTTAGAGCTGCACCCATCCAGGCAAGTGGGGAGTAGCATTCCATCACACTCTGACTTGAGCCTTGTTGATGGTGGACAGACTTTGGGGACTCAGGCAGTGAGTTACTCACCACAGTATTCCTAGCCTCTGGCCTGCTCTTGTAGTCATTGCAGAGCAAGTCCACTGAAGTTTCTGATCAGTGGTAACCCCTAAGGATGTTTAAAGTGGCGATTCAGTGATGGTAATGCCATTGGATGTCAAGAAGCAGTGGTTGGATTGTCTCTATTTGAAGATGGTCATGGACTGGTACTTGTGTTTGTTTTTATTCATTTGTGGGACATGGACATCACTGGCTGGACCAGCATTTATTGTCTATCCTTACTTGCCCTGGAGAAGGTGGTAGTGAGCTGCCTTCTTGAACAGCTCCAGTCCACATGCATAGATTGACCCACAATGCCATGAGGGAGGGAATTCCAGGATTTTGACCCAGTGACAGTGAAGGAAAAGCAATATATTTCCAGATGTGAAGAGTGATGACTCCAACATTCGTGGATCTGGTGCAGGTGGCGGCACGGGTGTCATCGGTCGGCCGGCTTGAGATTCACAGTGGAGGCGGCAGAGTGAAGATGGACTTTCTTTCAGCTTTGCCTTTTCTTTCTATTCTTGAAATATGTGAAAGGTGCCAGATTGTGGCAACAGTTGAAGCTTTTCACTGTATTTTCCAGTGTTGTTCATTGTAGAACAGAAGCGACAATAAATCATAAATTATCATTCAAGTCAGGATGGTGAGTGGTTTGGAGGGGAACTTGCAGGGGGTGGTGTTCCCATGTATCTGCTGCCCTTTTCCTTCTAGATGGAAGTGGTCACAGGTTTAAAAGGTGCTGTCCTAAGGATCTTTGGTGATTTTTTTGCAGTGCATCTTGTAGACAGTACACACTGCTACTACTGAGCAACAGTACAGCGGAGGGAGTGGATGCTTGTAGATGTGGTGCTAGTCAAGCGGCCTGTTTTATCCTGGATGGTGTTGAGCTTCTTGAGTGTTGTTGGAACTGCACCCATCCAAGCAAGTGGGTAATATTTTATCACAAGCCTGACTTGTGACTTATAAATGATGGACAGGCTTTGGGGAGTCAGGTGAGTTATGCACCACAGTATTCCTAGCCTCTGAGCTGCTGTTGTAGCCACACTGTATGTGGCAAATCTAGTTGAGTTTCTGGTCAATAGTAATCCTACGGATGTTAATACTGGAGGATTCAGTGATGGTAACACCATTGAATGTCATGGGGCAGTGGTTATATTGTGTTTTATTTGAGACGGTCATTGCCTAGCAGTTGTGTAGCACAAATGCTGCTTGCCACTTGTCAGTGCGAGCCTGGATGTTGTCCAGATTGTGTTGCATTTGAACATGGACTGTTTCAGTCTCCGAGGACTCACGAATGGTGCTGATAATTGGCGAAGATCCCCACTTCTGACCTTATTATGGAGGGAAGATCATTGATTAAGCAGCTAAAGATGGTCGGGCCTAAGACACTATCCTGAGGAACTCTTACAGAGATGTCCTGGAGCTGAGATGTCTGACTGCCACAACCATTTTCCTATGTGCCAGGTATGCCTCCAACCTGTGGAGAATTTCCCTGATTCCCATTGACTCCAGCTTTGCTAAGACTCCTTGATGTCACAATAGAAACCGAAAAGAACTGCGGATGCTGTAAATCAGGAACAAAAACTGAAGTTGCTAGAAATGCTCAGCAGGTCTGGCAGCATCTGTAAAGAAAAATCCGAGTTAATATTTCGGATCCCTTCCTCAGGAAGAGTCACTAGAACCAAAACGTTAACTGATTTTTCTTCACAGATGCTGTCAGACCTGCTGAGCTTTTTCAGCAACTTCTGTTTTTGCTCCTTGATGTCACACTTGATCAAATGCTGTCACTCTCACCTCACCTCTGGAATTAAGTGCTTTTATCCACGTTTGAACCAAGGCTGTGATGAGGTCAGAAGCTGAGAGACCCTGGAGGAATCCAAACTGGGCATCATTGAGCAGGTTATTGCTGAGCAGGTGCTGTTGATAGCACTGTTGATGACACCTTCCATCACTTTACTGATGATGGGAGAGTAGACTGATTGGGTGGCAATTGGCTGGGATATATTTGTTCTGCTTCTTGTGTACAGGACATGCCTGAGCAAATTTCCACATTGTCAGGTAGATGCCAATATTGTAGCTTTACCGAAACACCTTGGCTAGGAATGTGGAAACTTCAAGAATGTAAGTCTTCAGTACAATTGCCAGAATTGCCAGGACCTATAACCTTTGCAGTATCCAATGCCTTCAACTGTTTCTTCATATCAAGTGGAGTGAATCAAACTGGCTGAAGACTGCCATCTGTGATGCTAGGTACCACTGGAGGAGGCCAAGACCATTCATACAGCACTTCTAGCTGAAGATTGCTTTAGCTTTGTCTTTTCCACTGATGTACTGTGCTTTCCCATCATTGAGGAATTGGATATTTGTGGGACCCCCCTCCAGTAAGTAGTTTAATTGTCCACCACAATTCACATCTGGATGTGGCAGGATTGTACAGCTTAGATCTGATCCGTTGGTTGTGGGATCACTGAGCTCTGTCTATCACTTGTCGTTTATGCTGATTCTCACTCAAGTAGTCCATAGTCCTGTTTTCTGAAAAAGGGTCCCAACCCGAAACATCAACTTTCCTGCTCCTCTGATGTTGCCTGGCCTGCTGTGTTCCTCCAGCTCCACACTGTGTTATCTCTGACTCCAGCATCTGCAGTTCTTGCTATCTCTGAGTAGTCCTGTTTTGTAGCCTCGCCCAGTTGTCACCCCATTTTTAGGTATGCCTAGTGCTGCTCTTGGCATGCCCTCCTGCACCTTTCATTGGACTAGGGTTGATCCCCTGGCTTGATGGTAATGGTGGAGTCAGCGATATGCCAGGCCATGAGGTTGCAGATTGTGTTGGAATACAATTCTGTTGCTAGCTTCCTGTGAGAATGGCCTGTATAAAATATACAGCCAGTGCAGCAAAAGAAGCAGCTGAACCACTATTACAGAACTAAAAGTAAACTTCTGAGTTTACAGGGAGACCACAATTCATCATTCACTGAAGGTCTCAGCTAAGATGAACAATTGAAACATGTATGACAATGGAACAATGTGCAGCGAAGAGATTTTATCACTCAATTTATTCCGTTGTTCAGCCCAACCCCCACAGTTTTGGGCAGGATAGCAGGACAATGTCACATTCCAGTTCAAAGGAAGCAAGGGCTCATTTATGGGATTGACCTCATCACTGAACCAAAGGAAATATCCAACACAATCCAAACTGTGTTCCAAAACTCTCTCTCAAGACATTCTTCCCTTTCCATTCATGCCACGCCTTACAGGTCTAACTTGGCACTGGCATTTCGCTTCAACAAGAGCAAGCTACTAAATTTAAAAAAAACACCAGCCTTAATGTCATATATCCTGAACATGAATACACAACTGGAGTAGCATTTAATGATATATACTGACCCTCAATCTGTTGAATAGTTCTCTGGACCTGATTTGAGAACTTCTGTATGGTTATTAAGAACTCATCCCTGGCAAACTGAATATTTCGTGAATCCCCTCCTGCTCTTGATTCCTGTAAACTGCCTTTGTCATGCTGAAATGTCGCTGCACTTAAAAAGCGGGATGAACCTTTCAAATCAATACCTCTTTGATGATGTGACAAAAGTGGTATGAAGACCTGGAAAACATCAAATGCAACATTTGTATAATTTAAAAACTTTAATGTAGCAGCATCTGTGGGATTAAAACTCCAAAGATTTTAGTTTCAAAATTTGTACACATTTATAAAGGGCATGAAAGTCAGAGGTTAAAAAAAACTCATTGGCTAAACGCAAACCTACTAAATTTCTGCTTCTCAGAATATGGATTAAGGAATAGAGAGTTGGATATTCAAGTTTGCAGGTGACATTAATTTAAGAGAAACAGCAAGTTGCATAGATGGGAGCGGGAAGTTACTGAGAGACATAGGCAGACTAAGTGAGTGGGTAAAATAATGATAGGTAGAGCTCAGTGTAGGGAAATGTGAGGTCTGCCAACTAGGATCAGAGAAAGACATATTTGAATACGTACTTAATGGTCAGAGACTTGAATCTGTTATGGGGTTGTTGGGCTTCCGTGTACCTTATGGGAATAATCAACATTGCTATGAGTATAAAGTCACAAATAGGCCAGACCAGCAAGACAGCTGATTTCCCTCCCTGGAGGCAACAGTCAATCAAGGAGTTTTTATAACAATCTAACAGTTTCAAGGTCACTACTACTGATGCTAATTTTTTACCCAAACTTCACTTAGTAACTTAATTTTAAACTTCCTAGAGGCCATGGTGAGACTTGAAATCAGCATCACAGAAAGGATTACAGAGTGATTGCACCAGGGAAGAAGCCCTTTCAGTCTGTCAAATCCTTGCCAATTCTCTTCAAGAACATTGCAACTAATTTCGCCCTGCACCACTACTTTTTCCTCATAGCCCTCCAAATTCTGTTTGGTACTTATCCAATTATTCTTTGATAGCCACAATTGAATATGCCTCAACCACCTTTCAGGGAGTGCATTTATAACCACTCAGTGTAAAAAATATACTTTCCTCACATCATATCACAGACTCACAAAATTGTTACAAAAGAGACTGTTCGACCTATCCTGCCCATACTGGTTCTATCCCCTTGTGCCAATTTCCTGTCTTTTCCTCAAATCCCTGCACATCATTTCTATACAAATAATCATCAGATACCCTCTTGAATGCCTCAATTAAACCTTAATCGATTAACCTCAATTAATTCTAGGCAGTGCATTTTGTACCCTAACTACTCGCTGAAATAATAGGAGGGTGGAATACCTCAGGAATCACCAATCATCACCAATCACCCATGGTATTTTTTCCTTTTTCTACTAACCAACACCAGTAAATCATCCATGTTTCCAACTGAGTAATTTACATGCAAAGCCCTTTAAGGGCAATACAAAGCACGAAAAGATAAGGCAGAGGAGGGAGAGAGGAACGGAGCTAAATCAGAATGGAATTAGAAGGGAAAATAAAGCATTCCACACCCTGCAGTACCCACCTCTCTCTAAAGGCATCGAGAGCATTGGTGGACATCGTGTGCTCCCTCTCCAATGAAGCCAGGGCACCAATGTAACCATAGAAAAGGGCAGACAGTCAGCAGACATGACCCCCTCCACATCTCCCTGCAACATCTACCAGCCTGCCCCTATCAATCAAGGGGAGTCGACAGCCTTGTCGTATTATTGCTGGACTGTTAATCCAGAGACCCAGATAACATTCTGGGGACCTGGGTTTGAATCCCACCACGGCAGATGGTGGAATTTGAATTCAATAAATATTTCGAATTAAGAGTCTAATCTGTTGTCAATTGTTGGGAAAAACCCATCTGGTTCACTAATATCCTTTAGGGAAGGAAATTGCCATCCTTACCTGGTCTGGCCTACATGTGACTCCAGACCCACAGCAATGTGGTTGACTCTTAACTGCCCTCTGAGCAATTAGGGTCGGGCAATAAATGCTGCCTGGCCAGTGACGCCCTCATCCCGTGAATGAATGAAAAAAAATCATCTTTGTCACTTCTTCAAAAAACTCAATCAAGGTTGTGAGACACAACCTTCCCTGCACAAAGCCATTCTGCCTATCGTGAATAAATCCTATATTTTTCCAAGTGTAAGTCCTATCCCAAAGAATCTTCTCTGATAACTTCCCTACCACTGACATAAGGTTCACCGGCCTATAATCTCCCTGATTATCCCTACTGCCGTTCTTAAACAAAGCACCAGTGTTGGCTATTCTCCAGTCCCCTGGGACCTCTCTGTGACCAAAGAGGATACAAAGGTTTCATACCAAACCCAGAAATTTCCTCACCTGTCTCCTTCAGTTTTATGGGATAGATCTCATCAGGTCATAGGGACTTGTCCACCTTAGATTGATTGATTGATTGATTGATTTTATTGTCATGTGAAAAGCTTTGTTTACGAGCAGTACAGACATATCACAGCAAGCAAAGGATGTACAGATCAAAAAGACTTAAAGGCATATATGTTACATTGCAGTTACATTATTTGAGGCTAGAGTCCATTCACAATCTGATAACGGCTGGAAAGAAGCTGTTCTTTAACCTGCTTATGCGTGTGTTTAAGCTTCTGTATATTCTGCCTGACGGAAGAGGTTGTAGGAGATCATTACCAGGGTGTGATGGGTCTTTGACGATGTTGGCCACCTTTCCATGGCAGCGAACCATGTAAATAGAGTCCATGGATAGAAGGTTGGCTTCTGTGATGACATGATGTGAGCTGTGCACATCACCTTCTGTAGTTTCTTATGGTCCTGGGCAGAGCAGTTGCCATACCAGGTTATGCACAGGGACAGTATGCTTTTGATGGTGCATCTGTATAAGTTGGTGAGGGACCTTTTGGACATGCCAAATTTCCTGAGCTGCCTAAGGAAGAAGAGGCGTTGTCGTGCCTTCTTGACTGTCATACTTATGTGTGAAGTCCAGGACACGTCGTTGGTCATCGTCACTCCGAGGAACTTTTTCCATTGATGTAGATGGGGGGTGGGGCGCATGCTTTTGAATGCTGTTCCTTTTTTATATTGACTTGCCCCAGAAAAACAACATACCCTTCCTGAGACTCAGATCCACCATGTCCTTCTCCATTTCCTGCGGCTCCATGCATAAATTCCCTCCTTTGTCCTTGAGTGAACCTACTCTTTCCCTAGTTACCCCTCTTGCTCCTTATATATGTACAAAATGCCTTGGGATTTTCCTAATCCTATTTGCCAGACATTTCACAGCTCCTTATAGCCCTCCTAATTCCTTGTTTGAGTTCTTTCCTGCTATTCTTTGAGGGCACTGTCTGTCTAGTTTCCTAAACTTTACTAATGACTCCTTTTCCTTTTTGACTCAGCTCCCAATTTCTCTTCTCATCCGAAGTTCCCAAATCTTGCCATCCTTATCCTTCACTTTCACAGGAACATGTCAGTCCTGAACTCTGATCAACTGGCCTTTAAAAGATTCCCACATGCATGATTTACCCTCAAAGAGCCAACCCTAATCTACATACCCCAGTTCCTACCTAATATTCCTCTAGTTAGCCTTCCCCTAATGTCCTTATCCATAAGTAACTTAAAACTTACGGAATTATGGTCACTGTTCGTGAAAGGCTCCCCCACTGAAATTTCGATCACCTGGCTGGGCTATTCCCCACACCAGGTCTAGTATGGCCCGTTCTCTAGTTGGACTACTTACATATTGTTTAAAATAAAACATCCTAGACACTCTTAACAAATTCCCCCCATCCAAGCCCCAGGCACTAAGTGAGTCACAGAGTCATAGAGCTGTACAGCACGGAAACAGACCCTTCAGTCCAACTCGTCCACGCTGACCAGATATGCTAAATTAATCTAGTCCTGTTTGCCAGCATTTGACTCATGTCCCTTTCAACCCTTTCTATTCGTATACCCATCCAGATGCCTTTTAAATGTTGTAATTATACCAGCCTCCACCATTTCCTCTGGCAGCTCATTCCATACACACACCACCCTCTGTGTGAAAAAGTTGACCCTTATATCCCTTTTATATCTTTCCCCTCTTACCTTAAACCTATGCCCTCTAGTTTTGGACTCCCCCACTATGGGAAAAGACCTTGGCTATTCACCCTATCTATGCCCCTCATGATTTGATAAACTTCTATAAGGTCACCACTCAGCCTCCGACACTCCAGGGAAAATAGCCCCAGCCTATTCAGCCTTTCCCTGTAGCTCCAACTCTCCAAACCTGGCAACATCCTTATAAATCTTTTCTGAACCCTTTCAAGTTTCACAACATCCTTCCTATAGCAGGGAGACCAGAATTGAACGCAGTATTTCAAAAGCGGCCTAACCAATGTCCTGTACAGTCGCAACGTGATGTCCTAACTCCTATACCCAACACACTAACCAATAAAGGCATGCATACCAAACGCCTTCATCCACCACAACAACCCTGTGGTTTTTACATTTTCTATAATCTGTCCACATATCTGTTCCTCTATCACCCACTGGCTGTTGGGAGGCCTACAGTGATTGTACCCTTCCTATTCCCAAGCTCTATCCATAGTGTCTCAATGGATGATCCCTCCAAGATGCTCTCTCTTAATATAGCTGTGATGTTCCCCCTTATCTGCAGCTCCCCCACCTCTTTACATTTCTCCCTATCGCGCCTGAAATATCTAAATCCCAGAACATTAAGCTGCCAGTCTTGTCCCGCTCTCAACCAAGTCTTTATAATAGTTAGAACATCATTGTTCTATGTATTAATCCAAGCTCTAAGTTCATCTGCCTGACCTGTCATATTCCTCAAATTAAAACAAAAACAGGGAAGACTTCACCTGATGAAGGAGCAGCACTCTGAAAGCTTGTGATTTCAAATAAATCTGTTGCACTATAAACCTGGTATGTGTGACTTCCGACTTTGTCCACACCAGTCCAACACGGGCACCTCCACATCATGTTTTCTTTGGAACAAAGAAGGTTGAGGGGGAACCTGATAAAGGTGTATAAGATTATGACGGGCATGGATAGGGTGAATAGAAAGCAGCTTTTTCCATTAGTTTAAGGGTCAAAAGTACAAGGGAGCAGACGGTGAAAAGAAGGTCACTTAAAGGGGATTTGAAGAAAAAAAGTTTCACCCAGAAGGTAAAGGGAACCTGAAATGCTCTGCCTGGGAGGGTTGTTGCCGTGTGAAACATTAAAGTATTTGAAAAGTACTCGGATGACCAGTTGAAATGTCACAACATTCAAGGCTATGGGCCAAGTGCGGGAAAGTGGAACTAGTGCAGATTTAGAGTAATTTTGTTGGTGCCATAACGTCAGCAATTTCCGGTCTGCTGGCACCTCACCTGAGTCCAGGGAAGACTGAAATTTTATGGCCAGTGCTCCTGCAATTTCTACCCTCACTTCTTTCAAAATCCATGGATGCATCTCAATAGCACAGTTGCCTTGTCAGCTTTGTATGCCAACAATCTATCCCTCTTCCTTGTTAATTTTGAACGCTTCTAGAGACGGTGTTTCCTCCTCTGTCACCATGGCCTGGGCAGCATCCTTCTCTTTTGTAAAGTCAGATGCAAAGTATTCATTTAGTCCCACAGCCATGCCCCCACTTCCACTTATGAATTCCCTTTTTGGTCGCTAATTGTTCCTACACCTCCTTTAACCACTCTTTTACTAATTAAATGCCCATAGAAGACTTTAAGGTTTCCCTTTATGTTTAGCTGCTAATCTTTTCTCACAGTTCCTCTTTGCCTCTCTTAATTGCTTTATCACCTCCCTTTAATTTGATTTGATTTACTATTGTCACATGTACCTAAGTACAGTGAAAAGTTTTGCTTTGAATGTAATAACATACAAAGATACATAGGGTGATTGAACAGTGTGAAGAATACAGAGTTACAGCTGCAAAGAAGGTGCACAGAAGCAAGATCAACATTAGATTTGAAATTTGAGAGGTCCATTCAGAAGTCTAATAACACTAGGGAAGAAGCTGTTCTTGAACCTGTTGGTACGTGTTTAAGCTTCTGTATCTTCTTCCTGATGGTTGGAAGAGATTTTAACTGGGGTGGAAGTGGTCTTTGGTGATGTTGGCTGCTTTTCCATGGCAACGAAAAGTGTAGATGGATTTAATGGATGGAAGGTTGGCTTGCTGGCTGGGCTATGTTCACAACTTTCTGTAGTTTTTTACGGTCCTGGACAAGCCATGATGCATCCAGGTAGAATGCTTTCTATGGTGCACCTGTAAACATTGGTAAGGGTCCTTATGGACATGCCAAATTTCTTTTGCCTCCTGAGGAAGAATAAGTGTTGTTGTGCCTTCTAGGCCATCGCATCAACATGGGTGGTCCAGGACAGATTGTTGGTGACTGTCACTCCTAGGAACTTGACGCTCTCAAGCATCTCCATCTCAGCACCATTGATGTAGATAGGGGCATGTCCTCCTCCTTGCTTCCTGAAGTTGATGATCAGCTCTTTAGTTTTGCTGACATTGAGGGACAGATTGTTATCTCCTTTGGTATTCCTGTTCACTCTCAATTGTATTTTTTGCCTTATACCTGTCATAAGCACAATTTTTCTTTTTAATGACGATCTTCAGTTCTTTTGCCAATCACTTTAAATCTGTATCTTTGGGTTCTTAACCTTCTGTAAATAGTAACAGTTCTCTGGATATTGTCTCAAACTCCTGGATTACTACACAAGTAGTATAATCACTGATCCCAAAGGTGTGCCTCTCCTCGAAAGATGCTATCTGACCTGCTAAGCATTTGTAACATTTACTGTTTTTATTTCAGCATTTGTGTATTTTTTGCTTTATTTAATTTTTATTTGATTAATGGGTTGACACTTATTTCAAATCTATTGTCTAAACAGCTACCACATTTGGAAAGATATAACATACTCTAAAAAGGTGAGCTAAGAACAGTCACTGTTTTCAGTTATTTGTGTAAGATCATGGAAACTGCTAGTACATTTAAATAGATCTAAACATTTGCCTAACACCTAACTGCACAGCTCAGAATGCAGAGATGCAGGTGAGGGACTTCTTTTTAATTTCCAGCAGAAGCCCAGGCTTTTGAGATAGGCTGAGCATGTGAATTAAAGAGACTAAAGATAATATTTAAAGACATGAAAAATAAGCCAGAGTTTGTTTTAAACTGCTTTGTGAAATATATGTTCCTTTATTTGAACATGAAAATAATTGGTACACAAAATTGTCTTTCCTGAAAATAATTTTTCGTGATTCAGTTAGTTAAGAAACAAGCCCTGAAGCTGAATGTTTTAAGATCAATTTAATTCTCAGGTTAAATTTTCTCACTATCAATGCTTATAGAAACAATTTATTGACATCTTAAATATTACATTAAAAGGCATTACAGAAAATAACATTTAAGCACACAAATATGTCATCAAATTTTCTTAACAACATGCACTCTTATTCATGAATTTCATTTTCCTACCTGTGTTAGTATTTGATGTAACATCAATAATGAGTGTCCATTCAGCATTCCATACTCCAACATATTGGGCATTAGTATATTAGTCTCCTTCATGTCACTGGGTTCAGTAATGGTCTCTACGAAAATATTTCAATATAATATTGATTCAAAATGCGATATTTTGCTCATTAAACAATGTTCATTATATGGCTCTTGATGCAGTAGTACTGTCGCTACCCATGAGCCTAGGTTCAAGTCCCACATGCTCGGAGGTGTGCAATAACATCTCCGAACAGGCTGATTAGAAAATATCTATAATTTTCATTAAGAACTACAACAGAGGTGCTACACCATTAAAAATGTGATCCTTTAGATAAGATGTTAGACCGAGCTCTGTCTGCTCTTAAGTACTCGCAAACAAAGTTTTCACTGTACTTAGGTACATGTGACAATAAATCAAATCAAATTCAGATTTAAAACAAGGCTCACCCAAAGAAAAATCCCACACTGGTTGATATATAGCAACTCATCAACAACGGTGAAGTGCCTGATGTATATAAATCAGTGAGACGTTAGAATCAATATTTTTGCAACTCTGGGTAATGTTCATTGAGCAGTAAGAGATTTTACACATAATGAAGCCAATAGGCTAGCAACGGCTATTAGTTACATGCTGTATTTCAGGGCAGAATTTCAAAAGATGATAATGTGCTTGAAATCCTGGTGATGTTTGACAGCTTGATTCAATTATGAGAGCTATATATTTTCATAAATGTCCCTTGCGATTTACTGAGTAATATATTTGCCTTTGGGTTGCGGGTTCGAGTCTCACTCCAGAGATTTTGGGCACACAATCCAGTGACACTTTGCTGCAATACTGAGGAGGTGCTGCACTATCAAAAACATGATCCTTTTGATAAAATGTTAGACCGAGCTCTGTCTGCTCTCAGGTGGATGCACACAATTCAAAGCTACTATTTTAAGAATGAACAAGGAAGTTCTCCAGTGTCCTGGTCAACAATTATGCCGTAACCTACACTACTGAACCACATCCTCTGGTCATTATCTTACCACTGTTTGTGTGAAATTATCTACTGGGTTTCCTGTAATCAAAAGTGATTTCATGTCAACAATGCTTAATTTCACTTTAGTACACCCTGAGTCTGTGAAAGGAAAAAGTTTATTTTCCTTTGTTCCAAAGGAATGCGTGAGATACAAATATAAGAAAGTGAGCTCTCAGAGGCGATTCTTCAGAAGCAATGAAAAAGGCGTCAGAAGTTTAAAAAGAGAGGGATACCACTACTTTCTACAGCTGAGGGGAAGAGCAACATTCTGAATAGTAATGTTAATCTGTTCTTTGTTATTGCTACTACTTAACATCCAGCTAAAACAGTCACACAGCTGAAATGCATGCAACACTGCAATCCATGGTACGGTGAGGGAAGAAAGGAATAAGGAGATAATCATCCCCTCAACCCTAATCCACCACTCAGCGAGATCAGGATTGAGTTGTATCCCAATTTCATCCACTTATTGTAGCCTTAAACTCCTTAATACCATGGTCCAGCAAAAATCTATTGAATTAAAGCAATTAATTAAGCTAGTATCATCCGAGTCATTAATATAGTTTGCAAATAGTTGAGGCCTCATAACTGATCTCTGTTGCACTCCACTTGTTATATGTTGCCAAACTTGATAATAAAAACAAAGGATCATTTAAGATAAAAATGAAATGTTAACTCTGGTTCTCTCCAAAAACCTTGCCTGTCCTGCAGAGTATTTCCAGAATTTACTGCTTCTAATTCAGATTTTGAGCATCTGCTGTATTTTGCTTTGTTTTTGTTAATAACATTTCAGTAACAGTTCAGCAATACTATACCCATGTTTCTGCTTTAGACTAGTATTAGTGCACATAAGCCACAGCAACAACTTTATAAGAATACCTACCTCTTCTATTCCTCAGAAAATAAAAAGCATCGTAATTCACAAACTCAGGTGGAACTTTCTCAAGAGAAACATGCAGTATTGTGCGTTCTATTAACTGGGTTATAATTTTCTGAAATGAAAGAAAAGCATGGTATTGTATATTAATGACACATTAAAGGACACTTTTCTATATATTTTAATAATATGTCCATGTCAATGAGCATCAGTCATTAAACACACTCTTAAATATATTTCTTACAATTGTAGCAGGAATTCAATGACATTGATAATGAAGCATTTGACTCTGAATTAATATATGGCTTGGTGTGGTGCTCCTAACCTACACTGATCAGGAAAAACCAGGATGCTAGCCTCAGTCAGTACAAGGGAAGTGCAACATTTGGCCTAGCGTAGGAAAGTGGGAGACCACTGGTATTAGGTGTTTCTTGCTCCATTCAGTTCCAGTCTGAGCTGTGCCACAGAAGGTGTGGATTAGAGATTTCAGTACCCTGCCTTTACGCTGCCTTCAATACCCTACCATCTAGTTGAAGCAGGTACAGGCTGGAAATCACATTTTCATATGAGTTCAAGCCCCAATACAGTATATTCATTTATCAATCTGAACTGCACCACACTAGAGAGACCACCAATAAGCTGACGAGGAAATGGCCAAGCAGCCCAGCAAAGTGAAAGGCAACCGAGCTGGTGATGGTACAGGAGACCCATACCCCTGAACGATCAGGTTCTGGTTAGTTAAAAATAAAATTACCAACATAAAGAAATAATATTCTAATTACACTTTTCCAAATGGTTGCAGTTGCACAGTTTTTGTGTGGGAACAGGCAGAGATCATAGTTCAACCTCATAATCAACGTTTTGAGTTAGTGTAATTACAGAAAACTACAAATACTCAGCAATGTGGTACAACATTCAAAATACACAGAGACAGCAAGCCAATCCATCCTCAAAGATTCCCAAATCACCATGGAAAATCAACTCACAAGGACAGCCAATCAGAGAAAAGTTGTCCCCATAAATTGAGTGGAATGAAAGGATGAGAAGTTGATCAACCAATCACTGGCTGATTGTCTCCCATACCTGCTGCTGATAGGCTCTCGTGTACAACTATCAGCAACAGAAATGGGAGACAAAAACAGCGACTGGAGGAGCAGTAAGCAAGCAAGCAAGCAAGTGAGCGAGTGAGTTTTGAGGACCTCAGGACTGGAGGGGGGGGAAGCAAGCAAGCAAGCAAGCAAGCAAGCAAAATGTAGCAGCAGGATGCTGAGGTCCAGGGACTCAGTAGGCTGATGGCTAAGGCCAGGAGGGAGAGTGGAGATCTGGAGGGAGGGAGGGACGAACGAACGAACGAACGAACGAACGGACGAACGAACGAACGAACGGACGAACGAACGAACTGTGTGAGGAGAGACAGGGGAGGCTACAAGAAGAATGAGGTGGCTGGAGGGAGGTGAGAGGATGTAAATGGGGTAAGCTGGGAGACAGCAGCACACTGCAAGTGAGGGAGAGAAAGAATGAGGCTGCAAAAAGGGAACAGTTTCAAATCTGTGAACAAAGGAATACTCAGCTAATTAGGGGCTAGGAAACTTGAAATTGCTAGTATAATTAATTGTTTGCAAATGAATATGATATCTCTTGCTTAAGGCAGGACATGTTCAGGAGCTACTGTATGGGGAAGACAGTGGATGCTATTATAATGAACATTGTTTCAAGTGTTAAATTTAAATCTGAAATTGAGATCTAGGACACAGTAAAAGAGGGTAGTAACTGCCAGGTTAAAATGTTTCAAATATCTGAATATCCAATAAATATATTAGCTGTGAACTCTCCAGTCTGTGGAACGTGTGTTTAAGTTAATCGCTTTTTGTATGGAGAAAAAAGCTTTTGCTGAGTATTTGAGTTCCAAAGAAGACTCATTGGACTCAAACTACTAACTCTGTCTATCTCTCCACAGATGCTGCCATACTTGTTCACTTTCTCCAGAATTTTCTGCTTTTAATTCAGATCTTCAACATCCATAGTACTTTGCTTTTATTTTGCTAACTGATGTCTGCTGTCTTGGGACAATTAAAACTTCTGTGATACTGAGGGTGTTAATGCTTTCATTGTATGTTGTGGTTTTAAGTTTAATGAATTTGATAATATGACTTCTTCCAATTCAACTTCTGTGTGAGTCCAAATATTCTAGAAAGTAGTGTTACTATGTGATGTGATCACCTAATAAAGGAATGAGTGAGAATAAGAAGTAGCTTTCAAAAGTCAACGAGCAGACTTCATGGGGAGCCCTTGAATAAAGTTATTTTATTTTGTAGTTGGGTGTTATCCATAAAGAATCAAAAGTGAGTCAACATATTGTGTTCTGAGAAAAATTCTTATGCCTGTAACCGACTCCCTAGGGACTGCACAATCTCATGATTAATTGCAGCTTTTTGACTATTCATTCTTAAATTTCCAGCATTTGCAGTTTTCTGTTTGTTCTAAATAAATACAGTATATTGTGACTTTATAATGTTAGTCATACTATTGAGTGGGTCTAAGCAATCTTTTCAGTAGATAAAGACAAAGTCAAAACAAAATGTTGACATTTTATGAATGCTAACAGAGTTTCTAAAAAAGAACCACCACCTTTTGCTACTGGCCTCAATCCAGATTGCACTAGCAAAGCTTCAAGTGTTAAATGATATTGTCAATTCAAACAGCAACATTAGTACCTACCGACTGCACAACATTTTGTTTAGCATCTTCTCCTAAATCTTCAGCTAATCCAGTCTCTGGAGTAACTGTTAGATGACAGATTAACGGATTAGAATATTTATCATTCTTGCTATGCTCCTTCTCCACATATGTACCTTACATATGAAAGTTGTAGGAGTACTACATTCCAAACTCTTCCTTACTTCTTCAGTCCCATTCAAACAGCATTGTTTTAATGCCCCCTTGTTACTTTTAATTTTCAGAGTTAAAATCTCCACAGAGATGAATAACTTTTAAAAAGAGATTCAAACTTCTAGCTTTTAGCTGACCTAATAACTGAACAGGGTTACACGGTGACTCAGTGGTTAGCACTGCTGCCTCACAGTGCCAGGGACTCAGGTTTGTTTCTACCCTCGGGTGACTGTCTGTGTGGAGTTTGCACATTCTTCCCGTGTCTGCACAGGTTTCCTCCAGGTGCTCCGGTTTCCTCCCACAGTCCAAAGATGTGCAGGCTAGTTGGATTGGCCATCCTAAATTGCCCATAGTGTCCAGGGATGTTTAGGTTAGGTGGGTTAGATATGGGAAATGTAGGGGAAGGGGAAGGGGAAGGGGAAGGGGAAGGGGAAGGGGAAGGGGAGGAATGCTCTTCAGAGGGATGGTGTGGGCTTGTTGGGCCAAATGGCCTGTCTCCACACTCTTGGGTTTCTGTTTCTGTGATTCAAATGACTTGGCAAAATTTCACACTTCAAAACTCTTACTGTAACAAATGACTGTAAAAATAAGACTGACAAACACTTTATCTAGGTTATTTATGTTCCAAACTACAGAAAGTAGCATTCCCCCTAAATAATTGTCATCCATCACACATTCCACAAAATTAGTCTTTTAGCAAACAGTCCACAGTGGTTCCCAGTTTCCCTATTTCACTGAGTGGTAACTTCAAATGAACTTCTCTAAATGTTTTCCTCAGTTTTCAAAGAATTTTTAAACCCACCACCAGCAGTAAGGTTTGTTTCAACGATTTTTCCACCCTCTGCCAAATTTCTAGGATTGCATTGAAAAGTTATAGAATAGCATACCTCCGAGACTATAGACTGTCTCTTCCTGTACCCACTGTAATAACTGACAAAGTGAAGCAGCCTTCCAGCAATATATCTGTCAGCAGATTCATTGGAAGGCCACTTGGATGGTTTATGAAGTTTCGTTCTTTCCAGTTTACCATGATCCCTCTGACTGGGTTTATAAGGGATAAAACTATAGCTTATGCACTGTATACAACTATAACCTTCTTAACGCAACTTACCAACTTTTTCTGTTTCGCCTGCATTTGGCAAATCAGATTTTGTTCCATCAGTAATTTCAGTGATTTCAGCATCTTCTTCATTTGCAGGCTCAACTACCTCATCAGGTTCTTTGTGAAGGATAACATAAAGAGTTACAATGTTGTAAACATACATTAGAGATAAAAGATTTGTTAATGCTCTTTAAGTACACAGTGATGGATAGGTGTTGTGAGGAAAGGAAGCATATGTCTCAAGATAGAAAGGGATAGAAAATCACACAGAGTGCTCCTCTCATGTACTTGTCCAGCCTTAAATGTGCAAATATATTTCCTCTGATGAAGACGTGAGGATAATCATTCAGTCCGAAGACAAGTGTAATCACTAGACAATACCATGCTGTGTTTTCATTACTTTTATAAAGCGGTCACTGGTAAAGTCTCTTGTCTCTGGATCAGATACTCCAGGCTCAATTCCCACACCAGGGCTTGTTGGCCACTGACAGGGTGCTCATGATGTGCTTCAACAGCTGATAATCAGCCTGGGAATCATGGGCCAATAGGCCAAAGAATGGCAGATGGAGTTTAATTCAGATAAATGTGAAGTGTTGCATTTTGGCAAGGTAAACCAGGGTAGGACTTATACAATTAATGGTAAGGCCCTGGGGAGAGTTGCTGAACAAAAACACTTATGGGTGCAGGTGCATAATTCCTTGAAAGTGGAGCTGCAGATAGACAGGGTGGTGAAGAAGGCGTTTAGCACGTTTGCCTTCATTGGTCAGTGCACTGAATATGAAAGTTGGGATGTCATATTGCAGCTGTACAGGACATTGGTGATGTCTCTTTTAGAATACCATATACACTTCTGGTCACCCTTCTATAGGAAAGACGCTGTTAAACTTGAAAGCGTGCAGACGAGATTTACAGGAATGCTGCCAGGACCGAGGGTTTTGGTTATAGGGAGAGGCTGAATAGGCTGGTTCTATATTCCCTGGAGCTTCAGAGGCTGAGGTGTGACCTTTATAGAGGTTTATAAAATCATGAGGGGCATGTAAAGGGTGAATAGCCAAGGTCTTTTTTCTTAGGATGTCGAAGTCCAAAACTAGAAGGTACAGGTTTAAAGTGAGAACATAGAACATTACAGCGCAGTACAGGCCCTTCGGCCCTCGATGTTGCACTGACCTGTGAAACCAATCTGAAGCCCATCTAACCTACACTATTCCATTATCATCCATATGTTTATCCAATGACCATTTAAATGCCCTTAAAGTTGGCGAGTCTACTACTTTTGCAGGCAGGGCATTCCATGCCCTTACTACTCTCTGAGTAAAGAACCTACCTCTGATATCTGTCCTATATCTATCACCCCTCAATTTAAAGCTATGTCCCCTCGTGCTAGTCATCACCATCCGAGGAAAAAGGCTCCCACTGTCCACCCTATCTAATCCTCTGATCATCTTGTATGTCTCTATTAAGTCACCTCTTAACCTTCTTCTCTCTAACGAAAACAGCCTCAAGTCCCTCAGCCTTTCCTCATAAGACTTTCCCTCCATGCCAGGCAACATCCTGGTAAATCTCCTCTGCACCCTTTCCAATGCTTCCACATCCTTCCTATAATGCGGTGACCAGAACCGTACGCAATACTCCAACTGCGGCCGCACCAGAGTTTTGTACAGCTGCAACATGACCTCATGGCTCCGAAACTCAATCCCTCTACCAATAAAACCTAACACACCTTAACAACGCTATCAACCTGGGTGGCAACTTTCAGGGATCTATGCACATGGACACCGAGATCTTTCTGCTCATCCACACTACCAAGAATCTTACCATTAGCCCAGTACTCTGTATTCCTGTTACTCCTTCCAAAGTGAATCACCTGCATTAAACTCCATTTGTCACCTCTCAGCCCAGCTCTGCAGCTTATCTATGTCCCTCTGTAACCTGCAACATCCTTCCGCACTATCCACAACTCCACCGACTTTGGTGTCATCCGCAAATTTACTAACCCATCCTTCTATGCCCTCATCCAGGTCATTTATAAAAATGTCAAACAGCAGTGGCCCCAAAACAGATCCTTGAGGTACACCACTAGTAACTGAACTCCAGGATGAACATTTCCCATCAACCACCACCCTCTGTCTTCTTACAGCTAGCCAATTTCTGATCCAAACCGCTAAATCACCCTCAATCCCATGCCTCCGTATTTTCTGCAATAGCCTACCATGGGGAACCTTATCAAACGCTTTACTGAAATCCATATACACCACATCAACCGCTTTACCCTCATCCACCTGTTTGGTCACCTTCTCAAAGAACTCAATAAGGTTTGTGAGGCACGACCTACCCTTCAAGGGGAAAAGGTTTAAAAAGGACCTGAGGGGTAACTTTTTCATGCAGAGGGTGGTGCATGTATGGAATGAGCTGCCAGAGGAAGTGGTGGAGGTGGATACAATTACAGCATTTAAAAGGCATCTGGATGGATATATGAATACGTAAGGTTTACAGCGATATGGGCCAAATTCTGGCAAATGGGACAAGGTTAGATTGGGACATCTGGTCAGTGCAGATTAGGTGGATCAAAGGGTCTGTTTCCGTACTGCAAAACTCTATGACTTCCCCAATATTACCCAAGGAAAAAAATAAATGTGCCAGCAGACACTTTTTTATAAAAGAAGCCCCAGTTATACAGATGGTTAATATACTCAGGGAAACTAGTAGTGAATTCTTAACGTCTTTTAGGGAATGAAACTGCCATTTTTACCTGGTCTGGCCTACAGGTGACTCCACTCCCATAGTAACGAGATTGACTTCTAACTGGCCTCTGGTACAACACATCCATAATAACACAAGCCAAACAGAGACATGCCAGGGAATTCCGAAACTCCATCAACACACACTTTGAACTGGACCCAATATACAAACCATTGAAGAACAAAACCGGACGTAATACCAACCACCCCAGCAAACCGAGGCATATAAATAACAAGCAGAACGGAACACCAATGCTCCACCGGAGGCGCACTGATGGCGTTACCTAGCAGGGTGACAAAAAATCTGCAAACACACCAGGTCGGCGAGCCAGTCTGCAATCTGGACTCTGGGCAATTAACGATAAGCAATAAATGCTGGCTTAGCCTTGAAGTCCTCATCCCATAAATGAATTTTTAAAAATTCCTGCCAAACCTCTCTTGTAGTAGGAGGGAGAGATTCAGATATTACTAGACCATCGCATAGAACAACTGGACATTCAGTACGAGTTATACCATCTCAACAAAAATGCACTTGGACATAATCAGCTGATCAAAGAGAGGGAACTTAGAATTAGTAAAGGATAGGTCATGTCCAATGAACATTGTTGGATTTTTTTAGGGTTAAGATAAGAAAAGTCCACAGATGTTGTTTATATGGGCTTCCAGAAGATACTTGACGAAGTTACACATTTTTAAAGTTGTCACAATAGACCTAGAGGGCTGCTCTCTCACTAGAGAGAGACCACTGCTAGTGGTTTAAACTGAAGGACACTACACATCAGGTGACGTGGCAAGGTTGATACCTTCTTGGTAATCTCAGCCAGTGCAGGGAGTGAATTCATGCTGTTGGTACCACTCTGCATCATGAGCCAGCTAACTGAGCTAACCAACTCTCATTCTACATTACAGAGTGAAACAGATTTGAAGGTGGATCAAAGTTTTAGCATTGGGGTACCTATCTAACGTCTCACCTATCTCTAACTCTTGCGTCTTTTCCCTGGCATGGATGCATTAGGATTTACTGAGTTTTCAAATGGGGAATGAATTATAGAGTTACGGGGTCAAGGATTGGAATTATGATTAAGGTTTTGGGGTTAGGATTTTGAGGATTTCAGGTCAGGATTGGGTTACCAGATTTCTGAGGATCTGGACTGGGTTATAGTTAGGATATCGTGTTTAGTATTTCAGGGATTAGGCGAATTGGGAATTAGGATGTATAGAGCAAGGTGTAGGGGATCAGAGAGGTGGGCACTTAGGCTGGTTAGGGAGTCAGAGCTTGGGGATCAGGACAGAAATTTGGGAATCTGGGCTGGATTAGAGTGTTAGTGGGTCAGGGTTTAGGCGGTAAGGAATTAGGGGTTCAGGGGGTCTGTGCTGTGTTAGGGGGTCAGGATGTTGGGTTTAGAGCATCAGCATTTGGGGGTCAGGGTTTAGGGGGTCAATGAATACAGGGGTCAGGGTGTTGAGAGTCAGGGTTTAGACCATCAGCGTTTAGGGGTTCAGGGTTTAGCAGGTCGAGGATTAGAGGGGATCAGGGTGAAGGGAATCATGGTTTAAGGAAACAGGATATTGGGGTCTGTGCTGGCTTGGGGTTTAGGCTGTTGGGGTGAGGCATTAAGGAATCAGGTTGTTGGGGTTCAGAGGGTCAGGTTTAGTTGGTCAGGACACAGAGGTTCAGGGTGCTGGGATCAGGGTTTAGGAGATCAGGGTTAAAGGCTCAACATTGGCGGTCAGGATTTAGTGGGTCAGTGATAGGGGGTTCTGTGCTGGAATAGAGGGTCATCACTGTTTAGGGGGTCAAGGGGGTCAAGGGTGTTAGGATTCAGCAAGTTGGGGTAGGGCTTTAGAGGTCTGGGTTGTGTTGAGGGGTCAGGGTTTAGGAAGACTGTGATGGGTTGGGGTTCAGCGGTTTAGGTGTCTGCTTGTTTTGGGGTGTCAAGGTTTAGGGATCTGCGCTGGGTTGAGGTGTCAAGGTTTAGGGATCTGCGCTGGGTTGGAGGGTCAGGGTTTAGGGGCCTGTGCTGGGTCAGGGGTTCAGGGTTTGGGGAGTCAGGGATTAAGGGTTCTGCGCTGGGTTAGGGGAATCAGGCTTTAGGGTGTCTGCAGTCCAGCTCCTGGCCTCTGCTCTCACCAAGCTCCACCTCCAGTTCCTCCATGCGGCTGCCTTTGAAGAAGAGAAGAGCTGAAGGGCTGTCCTCGCTGACAGTGTCGTTGATGAATTTGAGGATGACCAGCTCCTGCATGCCGTCATTGCGGTTCACCAACTCCTCAAAACACTCAGGCTCCGTGATCCCGAATCCCTCATAAACCCGGTCCCGGATCCACTGCAGCCGCGGGTCATCGAAAGACATCATTGTGGTGGCTGCCGGGGGTACGCGTCCCTACCGGGAGCGCGCGCACGCGGGAAATCGGGAGCGCGTGAAAACCGGGAGTCGGTATGGGGAGCGCGTACTGACTGGGAATTCAGTGTCGAGAACCCGCATCCGCCGTGGGTCCACACCGCGAATGCGCAAAGACCGGGAATTGGTCCCGAGAACGCGCACCGAGAAGCGGAGGGAAGAAGCGAGCTCAAGCACCAACCGCCTGGAGAGGCGTTTCCATGGCGACGGGCGCAAGCTCCCAGGCGTTCCCATGGGAACGGAAACAAACAGAGACGGAAAGTTCTGGAGAAAGCCAGCAGGTTCTGGCAGCATCTACTGGAGAGAATGAGTGAGTGAATATTTCCAGTCAATGACCCTTTTTCAGAATGTGATAATATCTGAGAAAGGTGGAGTGAGCGGGTCAATGGAGAGACAGAGAGAGTTAGATACAGGGATTGTTGACAGTGAGCCAGAAAGGAGAACCTAGATAACGGAGGCAAGAGCCTGTGTTCGCTCGAAGGTTAGCAGATACACAAGAACACCAACCCCTGCAAGTTCCCCTCCAAACCACTCACTGTCCTGACTTGGGATAAAACTGTGTATCTGCAGTCAGTGAATGTTACAGCAGGTTAGGGATGCAAAATAGCTTAAAAAATACTGAAGTATTAAATGATAGAAATATTTATAGTTTTTCTTTTTATTAGAAATGCTAGATTTTGTTGGAGTTTGGAGTCTTGAATCATTAAATTCTACTATATCAGAGATTTACAAATTACTAAGCCACATTAATGAAATAATTATTTACATACAATAAAACTAACAAAACATATCACCGTCCTTCACTGTCACTGGGTCAGAATCCTGGAATTCCCTCCCTAACTGACATTGTGGGTCTACCTACAGCACATAGATTGCAGCGGTTCAAGAAGGCAGCTCGCCGTCACCTCAAGGGAAACTAGGGAAGATAAATACTGATTCAGCCAACAACACCCACATCTCACAAATGAATGATTTTTTAAAAAGTACACAGGGTGGTAGAGGTTTGGAACTCTCTTCATTGATGCTAGTTGTTAATTTAACTCCGATATTGATTTTTTTTGTTGAGCAAAGGTATTAAGGAATATGGGCCAAAGGCAAGTATATGGAGTTAGGGCACAAACTGCCATGATCTCATTGAATGGATAAACAAGCTCAAAAGGTTGAATGGCTTGGTCCAGTTCCTATAAGTAGGTGAAAATGGGTTGGCTGTGCTGAAAGCAACCCATGTCATGACAGGACCTGGGAGAAAAGTGGATAGATAAGAGACATGGAAGGTGTTCTAAAATTAATGAACTCCCTCCAAGGTCCCCAAGTGGAAGATGAGATGTTGTTCCTCCAGTTTATATTGAGCCTTGCTGAAGCACTGCAGCAGGCAGAGGAACATGGTGGTGCAGTGAGTGTAACACGGGCAACCAGCTGGACGTGACTGAATGTCAGTGCCCTGATTGGACCAGATTAACAGCCCCAATCAGGGAGCCCTGGCTGACATATAAAAAGGTGCGTGTCGGGATACTGACACTCTGGTGCCTGACTCTGTATGAGACAGTACTATAGTCAAGGACTGTTTATAAAGGGTGACTTGGTGATGGCATACATACCAGCCTCTATGGAGTTATTTCAGTGGTGTGTTGAAGTGACAGGTGAGGAACTACACTGAGGGCAAGAGGGGAGGGAGAGACTCCACTGTTGGCAATTGAAGAGGGGTAGACTATATTGGGGGCAATGGGGAGGGGGGTGGAGAAAACCTACACTGCCCTCGTGTGGAGTCCAGTGACCCTTCTTTGTAGGAAAGGGATACTGGGTGACTGAAGCAGACTGTTGTTGGGGTGGGATACATAATCAGACACAATTATCACCAGTCAGTCACTTATATCAGACACATCATCAAACAAATAACAGGAGTGCTGAATGTATAAACCCTTTGTTTGTGGTACGAAACTAAAAACCCCAATTCAGGCAGCATACTCAAGGTTAAACAGAAACATTATTTATTATATACATAAAATATTTTAACAGTAATTTTAACTACGTATATCTACAGACAGTGAATGTTAGATCGGTTTAGGGATGCGAAATCACTAAAGAGAAAAAAAGTATTAAATGGTAGAAATATTTATAGTTTTTCATTAATTAAAAATTCTAAATTTGCTAGATTTTGTTGCACAAGTTTGGAGTCTTCAATCATTAAATTCTACTGTACCAGAGACATTTACAAATTATACAGCTACATTAATAAAATAATTATTTACATGCAATAAAACTAAAGTGATTTCAGACTTGCGTCTGTAGCAGGAATCTGGGAGTTTTACAATCTCTTTACAATAAATTACCTTTTTAATTTGTTAGCCTGATCAACATAACCAGCTCTGCTCATATCAAATAAGGAAATTCAAGCACATTATAACCTGACAGAAAACAGTACAAGTAGTTGAACCAATTTGGCATTTTGTTCCAGAAGCATTATAAAAGGCTTTACATTTATCTGAAATATAATGATATTGCATCAAATTATCTTTGTTACACAAATAAACTCCCTGTAAACTTTGCTGCTAGTAGCAGCTAAGTAGTACAAAAGACAAAGAAAGACAGACTTGCATTTATATAGTACTTTTGCAACCATTGGAAGTCTCCAGCCAATTTTTGCCAATGCTTTCCAGCCAGTGAGGCATTTTTGAAGTTTGATTACTGTGGTGATATAGGTTCAGGACAGTAGCAGGATAAATAGTTTAAAATACTCAAAGTTCACGACATTGCCACATTGTAGCAAGTACAACATCATAGGACAATGAGTCACACAATTCCAATGTGCTGAGGCTCCTATGCTTCTCTCTCATTTCCCCCTCCTCCATGTCACAAGCCTCCCCTTTTCAGCAGTTGAATATCAGTAAAAAGTCAAAATGAACCATTGGAGCAAATATTATCAAAGCAGATGCATGCGGTCCTATGAATGAGGAATTTTATGGAGATGTACAAAGACGTACACAGTAAACTCAAATAACTCACTGCAAACGTAAATTACATTTAAATTCAGTGACTTACTCAGACTGAAAACCTCTGGCAAATCCTGAAAGCAACTCAAAAGACATACAATGTATGCCACAGAACTACACAACCAGAGAGAAAATAGTTACTAGAAACAGATGTTCACAGTTTGAAAGAGAAAAGTCTCCATTATCTGGAAAAATTTGTCAAATTTTGTCACATTGTTAGTTTCAAAAATCTCCAGTGAATTTCATGCAGCAGCATTTCCTTGAATTTCAGGAAACACTGTGTCCATTTTCCTAAATTAGAAGGGAATTCATAACCATTAAAAGATGATAATCACGTCATACAACTTTTAACAAACATCTCCAATATATTTCATCTCTGACACAATCTAGTATGATCCTAATAGCCAGGAAATCTATTGAATGCCTTTGTTGAATTAAAATTTAATCTTGTTCTACCCTCTCTCCAGAAGATGCGAAAACCTCTCAAAGCATAGCTGCGCTTCACCACTAGCACTCAGGACTTTGTGTTCAAGCTTTACTTGAATGTTGGTGAGCTAACTGTAGTGAGAGGCCAGGTTGTAGAGCACCTTGATCCTGCTTTCACAATATCTGTTTAAGAACAATTTCCAGCCAAGGATCACCAGTGAGTAAATAAAAACTTGGATCATCAGACCTGGGTGAAAATCTAGGAGTTTAGCAGATTTTTGTGTTACTTTATTTCTACATTTCTGATTAACAAACATGTTCTTCCTGCTGATATGTTCATATCTCAGGTGTGTCCTGCAGTGACAGCATTCTTTCTCTGCGAGAAGTTGACAGTTTCCTCAGAAGTTGAAGATGATATGATGGTATCTGGAAGGGGTTTCCCTGAGAATAAGGCAAACATTCGTATATTTCTAGTAAATGAGTGTGAAATCCACTGCTGTACAGAAATAGTGAGTGGATGCTCTAGGTGTCAATTCCCCTCCTGGATCTGTTAAACCCATTCTCAATATATGCTCACCACCTCAACTGAATTAACTGACTAATCAATGAACAGGGACGGAGTCTGGAAGCCTCATGCTCAAGCTCCAAACCGAAAGATTGATTTACCCACTGTCTGAACAGGCAAGCTCCAGCATGGTTCTGACAATTTTGAATACTAAATCAATCATGCTATACCTTCAACATCTTACAATGCAATTTTTAGCTTGACTGTGGCATCATGCAAACTTCACTGTATATTGTCACATAACAGCATTGTGATAAGATGTGAAGTGCAGGAAAATTATACAAATATACTCTTTTTATTCAAATAGATGTTGGAAGCAAAGTTAAAAGAGGAACCGAAACTCAAAATCATCTTTCAAATTTGGAAAATGTAAGATTACATTTTTGAAATCTTTAAAGAAACATCCAATACACCAATTACAACATTACATTCAAAAACGAATGGCTTATATATCATAATAATCCCACTTTAAACTTTCAGTCTCAAGAAAGGTGGTGAGAAACTGTCATGATCAATAGTTCATCCATAACAGACACAGTGATGGAAAAACTTAGCAGTTTTGGCAGCACCTGTGGAGAGAGAAAAAGAGTTAATATTTTGCATCCAGTATAACTGAAGAAGTTCAGAAGGTGCATTATATTGGACTTAAAATGTTAACTCTGTTTCTCTCTGAACAGATGCTGCCAGACCTGCTGATTTTCTTCACTATTCTCGATGTCTGTTTCAGATTTCCAGCATCTTCTTTGAAGAGTTGCTTTTCTTGTAATGGTTCTTCCATATCTGAATCAAGGTAACTTCCAATGCAGCTTTGTTGATGTCTTTTTCTTTTAGTCAGTCACCATCTCAAGAATGTAGCAACAAAAGTCTCTAAACTAAGTTGCTGAGAAACATACAGACTGTGGTGTTGTTTTGCCTGATGTGCAGTACATGAACTCTGTGTAGCAAGGCCCATGTACCCAATCACAGGGAGCAAGTTGGCAAGGGCAAGATTTCAGGACACTTACTTGCCTAAAACTGTACAGTTAACAGAGCAGATAGCACTGGGGTAAAAAGTCGGCTCCTTCCCCTTTCTTCAAAGGAGCTTATCATTTCACAGTTCTCCTAGTAGCCCAGTTAGTTTCCTTTGGGAACTGAACATCTCTATTTGGCACTCACAATTACAAGTATGAACTTTAGATTACCATAACATCTAGAGTTAAATGAATTAGCAGCATTCAACATTAAATTTGGAACTCTATTTACCAAGAGGCTGGAGTGGAGGGGTGTTGAATGGATGCCTCCGTTCAACTGCAAACTTCATAGGTCAAAACAAAAAACTACTGTCAGATTATGTACTTATTAGTAAGGCTGTAGTACATCTCTTTTTCACAGTGAAAAAGCCTGGTACATTAATGTATAAGATACATTTTAAAATTTTAAAGTACCTGAGGTTGCAATAAAAGCAATGATTGATCTTTAGTAGAGAAAGTAGCGCATATATTTGGTAAGGCATTCAGTGCAAAATATTTGTCGTGAGAAGCTGTGTCACATGATCACGCCACCGACACTCGTCAAACTCACATGCACAAAGCAATTTTCTAGGCAAAATCATCAAAACTCTGAGTAAGCAGCTCAAAGGAGAATGGAGAAAACTTGTATCCACTGCCTGTGTAGAACTTGTTTTGAAATTCCACCCTGTTCAGAGAGGGGAAAAACAAACTGTCAGCATTCTGCCGGTCTTCTCATTTGTAGGCGATTTGCTTTCAACAACTGTTTACCTATCCCTCTGTGCTAATGCTCCAGCAACACGTCAATTCTTATCGTTCTCCATGAAGTATGGAGAACTTCAAAGTTCTCCATAGTTTCACTCCTGATTATCTCTGAAACCTTTTCAGACCTATAACCATTGGAAGTTTGCACTCTTTCAATTCCATCGTTCCATCATTCACAGCCAGGCCTCCAGCTGCCTAGATGCTTACCTGTGGAGTTCCTTCCCTGAAACTCTCTACCTCTTTGTTTTGAGATGACAATAACAGCCTCTATTGTAATAAAATGGCCCAAGATGTTTTTCAGGAACATTATAAAATAAAGTTTGACAACGCCACAAAAGGAGATAATTGAGAGAACGACCAAAAAGTACGGTCAAAGTTAGAAACAAAGTAGCAGAAGGAGGCCATTCAGCTCCTTTGAGACAGCTTTACTCTTGAAAATCATCTATTTCAAAATCATTTGCCTGTGCTATCCCCATATCCCTTGATGCCTAGAAATGTATCAATCCTGAACATCCTCAATAACTAAGCTTCCATAGTCCTCTGGGGTACAGAATTCCAAAAATTCACCAAACTGAGTAAATATGTTCCTCCTCAGTACTCAATGGCAGGACACTAGGTCACTCAGTTAAA